ACATCATGATGTTCATGGGTCGCTGAGTAGCCAGACATCATGATGTTCATGGGTCGCTGAGTAGCCAGACATCATGATGTTCATGGGTCGCTGAGTAGCCAGACATCATGATGTTCATGGGTCGCTGAGTAGCCAGACATCATGATGTTCATGGGTCGCTGAGTAGCCAGACATCATGATGTTCATGGGTCGCTGAGTAGCCAGACATCATGATGTTCATGGGTCGCTGAGTAGCCAGACATCATGATGTTCATGGGTCGCTGAGTAGCCAGACATCATGATGTTCATGGGTCGCTGAGTAGCCAGACATCATGATGTTCATGGGTCGCTGAGTAGCCAGACATCATGATGTTCATGGGTCGCTGAGTAGCCAGACATCATGATGTTCATGGGTCGCTGAGTAGCCAGACATCATGATGTTCATGGGTCGCTGAGTAGCCACACATCATGAGTGGGTATACATCACGATGTTCATTGGTTACCTAGTAGCAGTGGCGTAGCGAGGTCGGGTGTCACCCGGCGCGGCACTTAATGGTGTCACCCCCCCCCCCAGAGGCGTAGCGACCCTTCCCGGGGACAAACTTTCAAATTTTCGATTTGCAACCCCCCTTCAACTTTTTCTCCATATATTTTGCTATTTTTTGCATTGGTGTCACCCCCCTAAATGGTGTCACCCGGTGCGGTCCGTACCCCCCCCCCTCGCTACGCCCCTGCCTAGTAGCCACACACAATGATGTTCACGGATCACCTAGATCACACATCATGGAGCAACTGAATTACCCCATGTATGTGCATGATCCAAATTAAATTAATATTGTTATAGTAGGGGTTAAAAAATTGCATCACCACCCAAATACCATGCTACTCAATGTTACAAAATGTATGGTAAACCTCCTATGCTGAGTGATACAATCGGTATTTATTCTTACACATCATTCCGGACACGTAAAACGTTTTACAAAAAACCTATTCGCACAAAAACGCTCATATAAAATCATTCCAGATACGTAAAGCTTTTTACAAGACCCTTTTCTCACAAACACTCATATAAAATCATTCCAGATACGTAAAACTTTTTACAAGACCCTTTTCTCACATCACTCCTATAAAATCATTCCGGATACGTAAAACTTTCCACAGTCTCTAAGAATCCTTTTCACACAAACACTCTCATATAAAATCTGTCACACTTTCAGATTCACATACCAAATCCTTGTGGAGCTTGTCGATCTAGAGCATTTGTGAGATAAAAATGTTAATTAATGAGGTCAATTATCGCCACCTGCCTAGGTGAGAGCAGATTTAAGTAGAGCCCGAGCCAGATCTATATTCGAGTAACTACTGCACGAGACTTGAGGGTCATTGACCTTTGGAGTCCGTGTTTTATGGCTATTTTAACAAGCAAATGTAAGGCTATCGTCAGAAAGTACGACGGGAACAATTTCTTATGAGAATAATCGAGGGAGAAAACAACATCCCTATTTTTGTGTGTATCAAATACTTTGGCACAAGATGCTGGAAATAGACGTCACACACCAAACATGCGCATGTCAAAAAAACCTAGAACTAACCCACGTGACAAGAAACAAACGACTATGCACTAAACCCTACTTGGCCTTGACATAGTTGTTGAACACCTAGATAGAAAGTAACAAAAATAATTCAAATCTTGCAAATTATCTAACATTATTAAAGATAGCCCCCCCCCCCCCCCACAAGATGCATTCCGTCCCCTTAGGCGTGTTAATTTCGTCCATTCCTATCATGTCGTTGCTAATTATATTATCCAATTATAAAATTATAAATCAAAATCATATAAGGAAAGGCGAAATTCACTGAGGCGTACGAAAAAACAGCAAACAAAAAAATGAAAACGCGGTGAAACAAGCAAGCTCAATTATATGGATACATTCTCAGGGGGTGGGGATGGGGGTAGAAGCTGGCAGTTGGTGAAATCATTCGCAAGATTAAAGATGTAATTATTGTAATACATCATTTTATTGTAATATATCATACAAGTTACAACAAAAAGTCCCATTTTGTTCCTCACATCTTCTAAGAGCAAGCTGTGAAAGCTAATGCACGACCTTTAAGATACAGAGAATGGAGTCTTAATCGGCTCAACTTAATTTGAAAGTTTAATCGTAAACTTAAATATCAGTAGCGGAATTAGGGATTTAAAAGTTTAATAGTTTACTTATATGCTAGCTAAATAAGGGATTTAAAAGTTTAATTGCAAACTGTAATGTTAATAACGGAATAAGTGATTTGAAAGTTTAATTGTTAACTCAAATTTTAGCGAAATGAGGGCTTTAAAAGGGCTTTGAAAGTTTAATTGCAGACGCAGATAGTTGAGATTTGAACCCAACCGCAGATAGTTGAGATTTGAACCCAACCGCAGACATCTGCAGATCGATGTTTTTGATTGGGTGTCACTGGCAAATCAGATATTTTTATCACAGAGAAAAAACTGGTCGTTTTATCACAGTTTAAAATATGAGTACCTAACTTGACTATGCTTTAGTGTGTACACAAATTAACTATGATGCCGCATGTACACAGTTTACACGATACTGATAGAAGGCGTACACAGTTTGATCTAGCACGTCCCATCATGTAGACACGTATAGAGGAGGTGGGGAGATTTGTGTTCGACCATTGATTGAGATGTGTTCGACCATTGATTGAGATGTGTTTGACCATTGATTGAGATGTGTTCGACCATTGATTGAGATGTGTTCGACCATTGATTGAGATGTGTTCGACCATTGATTGAGATGTGTTCGACCATTGATTGAGATGTGTTTGACCATTGATTGAGATGTGTTCGACCATTGATTGAGATGTGTTCGACCATTGATTGAGATGTGTTCGACCATTGATTGAGATGTGTTCGACCATTGATTGAGATGTGTTCGACCATTGATTGAGATGTGTTTGACCATTGATTGAGATGTGTTCGACCATTGATTGAGATGTGTTCGACCATTGATTGAGATGTGTTTGACCATTGATTGAGATGTGTTCGACCATTGATTGAGATGTGTTCAACCATTGATTGAGATGTGTTCGACCATTGATTGAGATGTGTTCGACCATTGATTGAGATGTGTTCGACCATTGATTGAGATGTGTTTGACCATTGATTGAGATGTGTTCGACCATTGATTGAGATGTGTTCGACTATTGATTGAGATGTGTTCGATCATTGATTGGGATGTGTTCGACTATTGATTGAGATGTGTTCGACCATTGATTGAGAGGTGTTCGACCATTGATTGAGATGTGTTCGACCATGGATTAAGATGTGTTCGACCATTGATTGAGATGTGTTCGACCATTGATTGAGACGTGTTCGACCATTGATTGAGACGTGTTCGACCATTGATTGAGATGTACGCAACGTAAAGATGATTAGAGGGTTCATATACGTTAAGTACAGAGTTTCTTTCAGACATCGCCCCAGGCAAGGGAAAGGGGAGGGGGAGTTCAGATCTGACTATGACGTTCGAGACAAAATACGAATCTTCTGCTCGTTATTTTACACAAATAAAATACGAACCCTCTAACTGTCAAGACAAAATACGAACCTTCCAACTGTCAAGACAAAATACGAACCTTCTAACTGTCAAAACAAAATACGAACCTTCTGTCAAGACAAAATACGAACCTTCTAACTGTCGAGACAAAATACGAACCTTCCAACTGTCAAGACAAAATACGAACCTTCTAACTGTCAAAACAAAATACGAACCTTCTGTCAAGACAAAATACGAACCTTCTAACTGTCGAGACAAAATACGAACCTTCTAACTGTCGAACCTATAAAATACGAACCTTCTAACTGTCAAGACAAAATACGAACCTTCTAACTGTCGAGACAAAATACGAACCTTCTAACTGTCGAGACAAAATACGAACCTTCTAACTGTCGAGACAAAATACGAACCTTCTAACTGTCGAGACAAAATACGAACCTTCTAACTGTCGAACCTATAAAATACGAACCTTCTAACTGTCAAGACAAAATACGAACCTTCTAACTGTCGAGACAAAATACGAACCTTCTAACTGTCGAGACAAGATACGAACCTTCTAACTGTCGAGACAAAATACGAACCTTCTAACTGTCGAGACAAAATACGAACCTTCTAACTGTCGAGACAAAATACGAACCTTCTAATGTCGAGCCGACAAAATACGAACCTTCTAACTGTCGAGAAAAAAACGAACCTTCTAACTGTCGAGACAAAATACGAACCTTCTAACTGTCGAGACAAAATCCGAACCTTCTAACTGTCGAGCCGACAAAATACGAACCTTCTAACTGTCGAGACAAAATACGAACCTTCTAACTGTCGAGACAAAATCCGAACCTTCTAACTGTCGATCGGACAAAATACGAACCTTCTAACTGTCAAACCTATAAAATACGAACCTTCTAACTGTCAAGACCAAATACGAACCTTCTAACTGTCGAGACAAAATACGAACCTAGTAACTGTCGATGCGACAAAATACGAACCTTCTAACTGTTGAGACAAAATACGAACCTTCTAACTGTGGAGCCTATAAAATACGAACCTTCTAACTGTCAAGACCAAATACGAACCTCCTAACTGTCGAGACAAAATACGAACCTAGTAACTGTCGATGCGACAAAATACGAACCTTCCAACTTTTGAGACAAAATACGAACCTTCTAACTGTGGAGCCTATAAAATACGAACCTTCTAAGTGTCAAGACCAAATACGAACCTTCTAACTGTCGAGACAAAATACGAACCTTCTAACTGTCGATCCGACAAAATACGAACCTTCTAACTGTCGAGACAAAATACGAACCTTCTAACTGTCGAACCTATAAAATACGAACCTTCTAACTGTCGAGCCGACAAAATACGAACCTTCTAACTGTCGAACCTATAAAATACGAACCTTCTAACTGTCGAGCCGACAAAATACGAACCTTCTAACTGTCGAACCTATAAAATACGAACCTTCTAACTGTCGATCCGACCGTAGACTGCTGAAGACCCTCATAGATGATGTTGAAGGCAGCACCAAGTAGAGCAGCACCAACGTCGTCAACACCTGCAGCGACACCTGGATCCAGCACATCATCTTCCTCGCGGCACACGGCAGACGGCAGCAGACGGCAGAGGACGGCAGCAGACGGCAGACGACACACTCACCTACACAGAGAGAGAAGAACCAGGTTTTACCGCATACTAAATCCAGTCGTCTCAAAACAACTTGGTCTAAATCCAGTCGTCTTAATCCAGTGCTGTCTAAATCCAGTGTCCAGTTTAAATCTGTAGCTACGTAAAAAAAACAACCGGTGCCTTTGTTTAAGTTTCTATTTCAAAGTCAAAATAGACGCTTCGTTTCTTTGACCTCAATTAGCTTTAATTACGTGGGAGTCGTGGCCGTTAATGAGTGCCAGAAACAAAGAGAGTCTGGAGACAAGGAATTCTCTCGTTTCTCACTTCCTATCTTTAACTCCGGTTTTTGCCGGGTATTTTTACATCAAGTTCAGTTTGCTGTTGGGATTGATATTTTCACGTCTGCTAGTTTTAGATGTGCATAAATTTGATCACACTTTATGCGAGTGTGTTGGACAGCCTTGTAATTGTTTTCATTGTCCACACACCAGCGTGGGTCGCGAAAAGTTCATGTCCATTCGCGTACAGCTGACCTTTACGCGCTGTTTCTTAAGTCACTTTGTCTTGTTTGTTTGTCTGTCTGCATATCTGTTGTTCAGAGGGTCTGTGGTCAAATCTTGTAACCCAATTTTGACTTTCCAGTTAAGTTTATTTTCTAGGATAACGCTAAAATATCTATTTTTTTTTTAAAATCTAACTAGCTAAAATAGGCATTGATTTAAAAAAATATATAACAATAACAAAAGGGAAACAATGGGAATTAAACAAGGCCGATAACTCGATTATCCTGGGGAGTGATATTGGTTGACACAAGAGCCACACTAAGGGGCAGGTAATTATTGTCTTGGGTTTAGATCGGTTTTAAAACAAATATTATTTGTTCAGACGGAGTTTCGATTTAGTTAGAACGAACAGAATAGTTATAGAACTAATACATATATGAACACTCAATTTTAATACACTTAAACTATATTTAATATGAGATGGGTGTATTATTTCTAAATTTCGACTTATGAGTTCAGCTAGAAAATCGAATACCAATATATCTCCCCCCCCCCCCCCTCCCTGTTCAGCCAGTAGACATATCAATTTTCTTTCAAGTGGTAATTTCTGGGTACTCGGCATATCAGGTACCGTGTTCTAAGTTTTATGCTCAACTGCCTTTGTATACTTAACTCGGCTGCGTGGAATCAGGAATGTAGTACTAACTTGGATCTAGTGTTCGAACTCTAGACTAAGGAGATAGAAGTCGTGCACTCTACCCCCTCCACCACGCCGCCCCAACCACATGTAGTAACTCTCTTAAACAATCAACGTAGAAGAGGTACGTCACTTACTTTTTACTTTCTCGTATATACGAAGTATAGAGAAAGTCTTGTAATCGTGCAAAAAAAAAAATTAAGATTTTTACAAATCTCGACGTTTTACACCTCACTGATACGGAAAAACAATCTTGTCTGTGTGTCTGTGTGTGTGTGTCTGTGTGTGTGTGTAAACACGATAACTTAAGTACCGTTACAGCTAGGTTGATGAAATTTTGTATATATCAGTATTCTATCAAAATCGTAGATTCTGATCAACTTTTGAGCGATTTCCGATAACCGGAAGTGGTACTTTTTCTACTTTGAATTTTTCAAAAGCCTATAACTTGAGTACTATTTCAGATAAATAAATGAAATTTCACATGTAAATAAAAGATCTAACTCTCTACCTTATGTCAAAATTTGAGTAATTTCCGTTGACCGGAAGTACTAATTTACGCTATTTCCGTTTTCTCAAAAAAACGCATGTAAATTTATAAAGTACTAATAATATTGCCCACTATTATGCACATTTTGTTTTGGCGTTCGCTTGGTGCGCAATTCTTTTTTTCTATGAGATTCTATTCTATTTTTAAAAGTTTAAGTAATTAAAAATCATGTCTATATTCCAAGTTATATAAGAATATTCGAAAAAGTTTAGGGGAGATCAATCTCGGTTTATTAATGATTATATTAATATTACATTGTAAAGGTTTGTGTTTAATTAGATATAGTGTTGAGTTTTGAAGTCGTTGTATTTTTGTATACGGGTTATGTATTGCCTAAGATTTTAAGCATAATTATTTTGAAAAACGTATGCGTAGCTATGCAGAATACCTAAGTCTCGTTAAAAATAAAACAAATTAAATAATAAAACACGTTTTACTTTCATCTCTCAGATTCTGATGGTGTCTACCTAATTACTTTCATCTCTCAGATTCTGATGGTGTCTACCTAATTACTTTCATCTCTCAGATTCTGATGGTGTCTACCTAATTTCTTTCATCTCTCAGATTCTGATGGTGTCTACCTAATATCTTTCATCTCTCAGATTCTGATGGTGTCTACCTAATATCTTTCATCTCTCAGATTCTGATGGTGTCTACCTAATATCTTTCATCTCTCAGATTCTGATGGTGTCTACCTAATATCTTTCACCTCTTAGCTTCTGATGGTGTCTACCTAATTTCTTTCGTCTCTCAGATTCTGATGGTGTCTACCTAATTTCTTTCGTCTCTCATATTCTGATGGTGTCCTTGTGTGGTTCGTGTTAAGATGGTGTTCTGATATTGGTGGTGTTGTGGTTTCTTTATGGTGTTGATGTTATGATGACGTCGTCAAATAAATGACGTCCTAAATATTTTAATCAACTCACGTCAATAATTAAACGCTGGTAGTATTAAAATCGAATCATTGCTTTTTATCAAATATTGAAATTTGTGTTAAATTTCCACAAATATGTCATTGTGACTTAAGGCCCTCTATTGATCAGCCCACGTTTAAATGTTTGAATTGGATAGTCAAATGTTTAAAGTCGTATCAAACGTATCTAAATACATTTATCTGAATTTTTACCGGTTTTTTTTTTTGTTTCAGGGTTGTCAACTTTTTTTACGCCGACAGGAGGAAAACTTCACATTTTACATTTTACACGGACAGGAGGAAAATTTCACATTTTACACTGACAGGAGAAAAACTTCACATTTTACACGGACGATGAAAATTTCACATTTTACAGTTAATACGGGCAGGCGGAAAACTTCACATTTTAAATGGACATGAAGAAAACCTCACATTTTACACGAACAGGAGGAAAACTTCACATTTTACACGAACAGGAGGAAAACTTCACACTTATGCGATGTTGGGGAGAGTTAGAAACACAAAAACATGGACAGAAAGAAAAAACACAGAAAAAAAGATGGTATCGTTAGTTAATGTAAACTAGTTTTTGTTGAGCAACTGTTTTCACTTGATCGATATGTTTTGTTAGGATTATCGAGTTCATGAATGTTTGATAGAAAAGGTTATTGTTCAGTTCCTCCAAGTGTATCCAATAGAAGAACAAAAATATCGATGTATCGTTTTTAAAGTATTTTAGTTTGTATAGTAAACTTAATCAAGAAGTATACAGGGCTTTAATGTAACTAAATTATTTTTTAACCAAAACCGGCCATTTCAGGTGCATCGTCCAATTTCTGTAATGTCAGTAATTAATCAAGCGGTACTCGATTTCACCTATATCGGCATTCGTCTTAGAGGTGTGGTCTAGTAGCCTTAGAGGTACGGGTCTATCAGCCTTAGAGGTATGGGTCTATCAGCCTTAGAGGTGTGGGTCTATCAGCCTTAGAGGTGTGGGTCTATCAGCCTTAGAGGTATGGTTCTGTTAGCCTTAGAGGTATGGGTCTATCAGCCTTAGAGGTATAGTCAGGTAGCCTTAGAGGTACGGGTCTGTTAGCTTTAGAGGTACGGGTCTAGCAGAGATAGCGGATTGTGTCTAGCAGGGATAGAGGATTGTATCTATCAGAGATAGAGGTACGTGTCTTGCAGGGATAGAGTATTGTGTCTAGCAGGGATAGAGGATTGTGTCTAGCAAGGATAGAGTATTGTGTCTAACAGGGATAGAGGATTGTGTCTAGCGGATAGGTTTATTTGTTTAGCTTTTCCCACACGACAAACCTGTGTATTCCGCGCCATCGTCCCTACATTGCAAGTATGAAGTTATTTTTTTTGACATTATGACCTCACACAATGGAGTCCAAGCTACCAGGGCCCTAGCTGAGTTCGTGTCAGATGGAGCTAACAGGCTTAGACTAACACATTAACTCTGAGCTAGAGAAACAAGTCTAGGCCCCAGATTTAATGTAACAAGCTTACCCCGGGTTTTTTTCTAATAATTCTGACAAACCTGATCTTTTCGATTGGCTTGACAAAGGAGCAAATACATTTTGGTAATTTCGACCCAAATATTGGGGTGTGGGGTGAGAAAGGGGGTGGGGTTGGGTGGGTGGGGGGTCGGTTCATCAACACAGTTACTGGCCATAGGAGCAATTGCTTTGGAAAAAAAAAACATTGCGCTTGCTACGCTCATATAAACGTTTTGACGCCAATTTTTTTTTAAATTTCAGATTTGAAACCAGCTCAATGTTATCAACCAGGATCTCGACCAGGCTTAAAATAAATCGGAACAGTTAATGTGCTCTTCGTGTCAATATTCGTTAATTAGACAAGACGTAATTGGGATATCTGTGTCACGTGACCAGCTCTGATCAAGATGGGCAGCTCCACACGATCTTTACAGCTGGGCATCACTCAATCTAGGGGCATTAAGGTCTGTACACAGCTGGGCATCAGTCTAGGGGCATTAAGGCCTGTACACATCTGGGCATCACTCAATCTAGGGGCATTAAGGTCTGTACACAGGTGGGCATCAGTCTATCTAAGGGCATTAAGGTCTCTACACAGCTGGGCATCACTCAATCTAGGGGCATTAAGGTCTGTACACAGCTGGGCATCACTCAATCTAAGGGCATTAAGGTCTCTACACAGCTGGGCATCACTCAATCTAGGGGCATTAAGGTCTGTGCTTCACTCAGTCTAGGGGCATTAAGGTCTGTACACAGCTGGGCATCACTCAATCTAGGGGCATTAAGGGCTGTACACATATGAGCATCACTCAATCTAAGGGCATTAAGGTCTCTACACAGGTGGGCATCACACAATCTAGGGGCAATAAGGGCATAGGCAAGTAGGCACGTCCAGCTTGCAACCACACGTGTTATACCATTCACACACCAACCACCTTCGGTTATATCAACCACAAACCAACCACATTTGGTTATATCAACCACAAACCAGACGCAAGTGGTTATGTGAATGTAAAATCTTGTTCAAGTTGTCACAAAATCAAACACATACACGTTCATACAAATCTTGGTCCTTTCGTCAAAACATCAAACAAAATATTCGCGTAAATTTTGGAATCCCACTAAAACTTTTAAAGCCTGAAACAGGCCGAGATTAATCTATCACTAATTGCCGCGGCTGTAACCAAGTCACTACCGTCATATTGATATCAACCAAACCAAATGGGATTCGATTACTTTAAGACAGAAACACAGCAGATAATCGACTTTTTTTTATGTCAGATAGGATTCGATTACTTCATGAAATAAAACGACCAGAAATTCCCAAGACAAACGTAAATATGAATTTTGAAAAGTAGATGAACATTCTACAGTAATTTTGTAATTCAGTACTTTTTCTTTACAAATAACATCGTAAAAATTCTACAGTAATTTAATAATTCAGTGCATATTTTATTTTACAAATGACATCGTTTTTTAAAAAACCAACAGGATATCACAGCGAAATATCTTGTCGTGATTCTATCCGCAGATCAAAGCGTACACGACTCGTTCACAAATGGTCGTCAAGTGGCCTCATAAATTTCTGGAATCGATTATGTAATTATTCCCCCGAGTACATCTTTCGAGTGGATTAGTTCAATCCATACTTTTGTGGATAAATAACTAACCTGAAGTGGATAAATGACCATTCACTTGTGCGGCCTACTCAATATTTAATGTGACTGACTATTTGATTTTTTATCTGAATGTTTTTAACGTGAGATGCTGACTAACTACTTAATGATATGACTGACTAAATAGTCACTGGTGTGGCTGAATAAATAGTCACTGATGTGGCTGACTAAATTATCATTGATTTAGCTGACTAAATAGTCACTGATATGACTGACTAAATATTCACTGATTTGCTGACCAAATAGTCACTGATATGACTGACTAAATATTCTTTTATGTGGCTGACTAAATAGCCACTGATAAGAATGATGAAATATCTACCGTCGTGGCTAACTAAATATTTACTGTTATGACTGACTAAATAGTGACGGGTGTGACTAAATAATTACTTGTCTGACTTTGGCTGAGTAACGTTATCTTTCCAAGTATTTAAATATTGCACTATCGTGTTTGACTGACTGACTATAAACCTGTTTGACTGACTGACTAACTATAAACATTTTTCACTGACTATAATCCTGTTGAGTGACTAACTATAAACATTTTTGACTGACTATTAACCTGTTTGACTGACTGACTATAAACCTGTTTAACTGACTGACTATAAACCTGTTTGACTGACTATAAACCTGTTTGACTGACTGACTATAAACCTGTTTGACTGACTGACTATAAACCTGTTTGACTGACTGACTATAAACCTGTTTGACTGACTGACTATAAACCTGTTTGACTGACTGACTATAAACCTGTTTGACTGACTGACTATAAACCTGTTTGACTGACTGACTATAAACCTGTTTGACTGACTGACTATAAACCTGTTTGACTGACTATAAACCTGTTTGACTGCCTGACTATAAACCTGTTTGACTGACTATAAACCTGTTTGACTGAATATAAACCTGTTTGACTGACTATAAACCTGTTTGACTGACTATAAACCTGTTTGACTGACTATAAACCTGTTTGACTGACTGACTATAAACCTGTTTGACTGACTGACTATAAACCTGTTTGACTGACTATAAACCTGTTTGACTGACTGACTTAAACCTGTTTGACTGACTATAAACCTGTTTGACTGACTATAATCCTGTTTGACTGACTATAAACCTGTTTGACTGACTGACTATAAACCTGTTTGACTGACTGACTATAAACCTGTTTGACTGACTGACTATAAACCTGTCTGACTGACTGACGACTATAAACCTGTTTGACTGACTGACTATAAACCTGTTTGACTGACTGACTATAAACCTGTTTGACTGACTGACTATAAACCTGTTTGACTGACTGACTATAAACCTGTTTGACTGACTGACTATAAACCTGTTTGACTGACTATTTGTTCGTGTGAATATTGACCTTCTTGTCTGATCTCTGACTAAACTAATGTTGCTTGTGTTGTAAGTCTACCAACTCCTGACAATTTCGTCTACTTTGATACTTAAATGTCAGACTTTCCCGGGTCACAGACTGACTGACATTTCATCCCCAATTTGAACCACGATACCTCCCCCCCCCCCCCTCCCTCATTCGTGTAATTCCTGATAAGATGATCGCCTATCCTGGGGCAATCAAGATTGTAGATGATAAATACACCACAGAGACGATTCTTTTCAGCCAAGCAAAGACTGAAGAAATACTAGTGAGCAAGAGTACAGTCATGTTGACTATAGATTTCGGCGCATGCGTAATTAAGACGGTACATCAGCTTTCTCAGTTACCGCTAGGATAAAGACTGGCAGCTAATTAGATAATTATTCTACTTCGGATGAACACGTGGAATAAGTACGCTCAGTGATATATATTCAGAGTTTCTACCAGGCATCTCTTCGGGGGAGGGGGGGGGGCGGGGCAAAGCCCCTCTGCCCCCCCCCCCCCCCCCCCTCGAAGAAATTCTACTCCCCCCACCCCGGAACGAGATGGAATTTTTCTAGTAAACATATAATTTTACTAGTGTTCGCCCCCCCCCCCCCCGATAAAATGTTGACCACCCCCCCCCCCCTCCCCCGAAAATATCAAGTGCCCCCCCCCCCCGGTAGAAAAAAGTCTGGAAGAAACGCTGTATATGTTTATACTTCAACGAACAAAATGTTTACAATTTGATAGAAAAATATAATATCAGTAAACAGAATCATAGTATATGTGTGTGGTCTATCCAGAATTGACCCACTGAACTAACGAGCACATAATCAACATACAGATATGTTGCCCGTCTTAGACTTCCAGACCTGATAGTCCACGGGATAGATGAAGTAGAGTTTATCTGAGTCTTACCTGAGTAAAGTATCCTTCGGTGGCCAGCAGAATCCAATAGAGAACCAACGTGTCACCAATAGATTATATCAATCTATGGATTGAGAGTACTTGATTTGTTAACAATATGTTCTATCTACTTACATAGAGGGTCATTTAGAGGATAACTTTCACGACCACAGATGATTACTTCTAGAGTTCTTACTGATTAATTTCTCAAACTTAGTGTTCCTAATTATGGTTGTATTATATTAACCTATCCTTGCTGGTACTTTATTAAACCTACGTATATTAGCTCTAGCTCTAGCTACGCCGGTACTTTGTTAACCCTAGCTACGCCGGTATTTGATCTGTACTGCGCTGGTCTTCGCGTGTCAAACATATCCACAGCAGTGTAACCCACTCGCTCCCGCCAATTTAACGCCGGATCTGACGTCCCCACGCGCATGGGCAGACGTCAAGTTGTGGTCCGCTTGCTTGCGGGGGTGTCATCGCTCTACGCTGCCGCGGTGTCGTGACGCTCGCATATTCACAACGCAAAATTTGATTACGCTTTTTTAGACAACTGAAAAACTTTACACTTTACAGCTTCCCGCTGAGCATTACACGAACACTGACTTCTGGTTATTTCATCGACGTTATCTTTTAACTTCCTCAAAAGATTTTTAAAAATATTCTGAGATAATTTTTTTTTTTAATTTTATAATTTTCTTAGTACTACTGCCATAACTACGGAACATTTTACTCCTAAATTAGTGAACCGATTGGAATGTGTATAATTACGATAGGGAATGCTTTTAAAGACATTTATACCTTTATTTAATCGTACATAGAAAAATGTTGGTTTTATACTATCGTACATCTTGCCATATTAACGATGGTTCGGGGAGGATAATATAACTACATCTCTACCATCCGAAACATCTACCATCCAACACATCTACCATCCAAACTCTACCATCCGTCATATCTACAATCTCGATACAATCCTCCTCCTTCGTAAAATGTTCATGTTCTACACAATTTAGATAAACCTATTGTTTTATGGAATATTTACTTTGAACAGAAGTGCGATTCTTTAAATTGTAATCAATCGAAGAGTTGATTATGAGGAAAGTCCTGGGGGCTTATAGCATCAGTCTATCCAGATGTCGGTGTGTGGGTATGTGTGTGTGGGTGTGTTAGAGTGGACTGTCCCTGCTTTAAACGAGCGTCGGTGTGTGTGGGTATGTGTGTGTGTGTGTTAGAGTGGACAGTCCCTGCTTTAAACGACCGTCGGTGTGTGTGTGTGTGTGTGTATGTGTGCGTGTGCATTCGTTACAATGGACGGTCCATGCTTTAAACGACCGTCGGTGTGTTGGTTAAAGTGGACGCTCCCTACTTTAAACGACCGTCGGTGTGTGTGTGTGTTGGTTAAAGTGGACGGTCCCTGCTTTAAACGACCGTCGGTGTGTGTGTGTGTGTGTTGGTTAAAGTGGACGGCCCCTGCTTTAAACGTCAGACAAGAGTTTTTATGATGATGGGAGATTCCAGTCTTTGATCTGTAGCCTGATATTAAAATTTTCACTGGATTTCCCTTTGTGGAAAGTTGATGGGGTCGTTTGTTTGGCCATTAAATAGTGGATAGTTAATAGTGAGGCGGCGTGTGTGGATATGAAACTGGATGGTGGATAGTAATATGGCTGCTCTATGTTGTCGGGTTAGTCGCCTGACGTTGTATGGTAGGCATCAGAGGTGTAGCGAGGGCGCGGGGGGGGGGGGGATTGTCCGGATATTAAATGATAGACATGGAGGCAGATTGTCCGGATATTAAATGAGTTTTGAATACAGTGGCGGCTCCTTGGGTAGGCTGGCAGGGCAGCAGCTCGGGGCCCCAAATTTTAACTTATTTAGACTAAATCTTGTTTTCTGCTCCCCCAAGTTTTCTTAAAGCTTTTTTTTCTCCGAAACAAAACGGGGAGGGTTGAGGGGTAGGAGCATAAAAATTTTGGAGTGTTTACTAAAGTTTAAATATATATATTTAAGGTCTGGCTGCAGTGGAAGTTCACCAGGTAAAGCACTGCACCCCCTACCCCCCCCCCCCCTTTACCAACAGATATGCCTGAAAAAAATCTCCAGCTGTCTGATTCTATTCTTAAAAACTGTACAAAATATTATTACCCACCCCACCCATAAAATCGAATATTATTGGATATTTAAAGACCTGGAGAAATAATGTTATTTTAAAGGAACTCCGCCCCCCCCCCCCTCTCTCTCTCTTTAAAATACAACACACCTAGTTAGCATAAAAAACATTTTAAAGTTGATTTTAAAATCACATCTTGTGAGAGTAAATCGTTTGTTCAATTAAAGCAACTTAGAAACTTTTGATCTATGTTGTGCTTGAATTTAAAATTATGTGAGCCTATTGTGTCCAATTAAACAGCTCTATGTAACAGAAATCTTGAGGTAAGAAACAAATTAAGTGCTATATTACATACCCCCAAGCCATCCCGACCCTCTATAACACATTATAACAAAATGATATACAACCCCCTACACATTCGCGTCACCCACGATCGCTAAACCTTTTAATTTTTGTAATATGTTCAAACCTCACCATACCACGCTATGTACTAACTTCCACCATCTGTAGTTGGTTTACAGAACACGTCATGTTTAATGTGTAGGGGCAGACACTGGTATATGACGTCTGGTGAACTAAATTGGATGAATTTTCTGTTCAGAGAACTTTTGTTTTAGATAAGGAAATAAACGGCACAAAGCGAATGGCCAAAACGTCACAAATTCAGTAGCGGATATAATTAGATTTTTAAAAATCTCTCCGCTCTATGGCAATCTAATATAGATCTACGAGATAAATGGCCCGTTGAGGGAGAAATACAACGGGCGCTAGTTGATAGTGATGTCTTTTTCTTTACACCAAAACCAAAATCCCCACCTCAACCTCAAATTTAACCGGAGACGAAAAATGTCATTGAAAACTGATTTTTATCCAGAATCGGTTTTAACCGGATTTAAGCTAGATCTACGCGTAGCTACTGCACGTTGATGCTAAATATAGTCGTAGCCATACCCTAAACATTGCACCGAATCTCCACCCACCCCGAAGCACGTCTACCGTCCCATTCAACAAAATAAAATTTATATAGGAAATATACTTCTACCAGTGTCTGCCCCCTCCCAGAAAATTTAGACCACCCCCCCTCCTTCGAAAACTTTAGGTACTCGCACCCCGGAGAGACTGAAAGAAACACTGGTCGCATTCTATAATATAGACCCGTTTCCTACTTTTGGCCGATAAACCTCAGTCACGCAAACAGTGTTTCTTTCAGACTTTTGGCCGATAAACCTCAGTCACGCAAACAGTGTTTCTTTCAGACTTTTGTCCGGTAGTGGGGCACTTGAATTTTTTTCAGGGCCTTTTTTTTTGGGAGGGGGGGGGGGTGGTAGACCTTGTACCCAGAGGCGTAGCGACCCTTCCCGGCGCCCGGGAACAAACTTTTCGATTTGCACACCCCCTCAAGATTTCCCCCCCCCCCCCCTCAACCTTTCAATTTATTTTTCCAACCCATGTTGGCGCCCCCTAAGGTCGGCGCCCGGGGACATATGTACCCCCCCCTCCCCCCCCTCGCTACGCTACTGCTGTACCGGGACAGGGGGTTTAGGCGTTCTACCGGGGAGGGTGGGGGGAAGGGACTTAGCCCCTACCCGAAGAGTTGTATGAAATAAATTTTGCACGCAAACCACTTTTAAGGTTAGACAAATGAATTAGGCGATAATTGTCTGTGTTTTTATTATCGAGTATCGACTACGTCATTACTATCGTGTATTTTTTCGGCATTGGCTTTATAATTCAATGTTTACTCTAGAATCAATGACATCATATTATTGTGTGTACTTTTCCGGCTTTAAGCTATTTCCTACTACGAGCTGACCCGCGGCGTATAATACGCCGCTATTTCGTCTCAAATAAACCGGGAGTGATCTCCCAACATAAAAATATGTATTATAATAAGCTTGTTAATGTAAATGCACTGAAATAAAAAAAAAAACTTGTTTTATTTATTAATCATTGTTTGCTCATTTAAATACCAATGTTTATATTAAAGAAAGCAAGTTTTATTTTGTATTTTATGTGTATGTTTAGCTCATTTAAAAGCTTGGTATTATAAAGATGTTAATACTTACTTTATTATAAAAGTTATTTTTATAGTAAACATTTGTACTTTTCGTAAAATACAATAATTATGCTTATGACACCATTGACAACTTCCGGCGATCTACCATGGCGGATGTTGTGTTTATTTCCATCGACTAATAAAACTAATAACACTACGAACCACTGTAAAAATATAATAATGGTTTGTTAAATTAATATTTGCATTTATTAGTACATATCTACTATTTATATATAAATGAGTCCGGCAATCTTTGAAAATCAGGCATTCTGTACATACAATCCATGAAGTTTTCAGGCTTGGTACGAAATATCATTGAACTAAATACACAGGCAAATATAAGAATGAAAAAAACTAACCAGACCTATTGTAAGATATCAAGATTGGAAAAGTGTTCAATAAACAACAGTCACAAACTGAAAAAAATAAAGAAAAATAACGAAAAGAAGCACAGGACATCTTTACTAGGAGAACAAAAGAATCAGAAGTGTTACTTCGTACTACTGGTTGCAATCATTTTTATTTAACTACTTATTGCAGTACAGATAGCTTGAATGGCATTGTGAATTTCATTTAATTTTATTTCAAACTATAAACCTATACTCAACCCTAAACCTAACCCCAACCTCAACCCCAACCCCAACACTAAACCTAAACCTAAACCTAAACCTAAACCTAAACCTAAACCTAAACCTAAACCTAAACCTAAACCTAAACCTAAACCTAAACCTAAACCTAAACCTAAACCTAAACCTAAACCTAAACCTAAACCTAAACCTAAACCTAAACCTAAACCTAAACCTAAACCTAAACCTAAACCTAAACCTAAACCTAAACCTAAACCTAAACCTAAACCTAAACCTAAACCTAAACCTAAACCTAAACCTAAACCTAAACCTAAACCTAAACCTAAACCTAAACCTAAACCTAAACCTAAACCTAAACCTAAACCTAAACCTAAACCTAAACCTAAACCTAAACCTAAACCTAAACCTAAACCTAAACCTAAACCTAAACCTAAACCTAAACCTAAACCTAAACCTAAACCTAAACCTAAACCTAAACCTAAACCTAAACCTAAACCTAAACCTAAACCTAAACCTAAACCTAAAACTAACCTGAACCTGAACCTGAACCTGAACCTGAACCTGAACCTGGACCTAGACCTAGACCTAAACCTAAACCTAAACCTAAACCTAAACCTAAACCTAAACCTAAACCAATACCTAAACCTAAACCTAAATCTAAACCTAAACCTAAACCCAACCCCAGCATTAGCCCTTGCCCTCGCAGCCCTAGCCCTAGCCCTGGCCCTAGCCCTAGCCCTGGCCGTGGCCCTGGCCCTAGCCCTAGCCCTAGCCCTAGCCCTGGCCCTGGCCCTGGCCCTAGCCCTAGCCCTAGCCCTAGCCCTAGCTCTAGCTCTAGCTCTAGCTCTAGCTCTAGCTCTAGCTCTAGCCCTAGCTATTTTGATGTCAAGATGCGGCTCTCGTGTTCCATATATATATATATATATATATATATATATATATATATATATATATATATATATATATATATATAGTGAGAGAGAGAGAGAGAGGAGAAGAAGAAAGGGAGAGCTAATTTTTACATATTAACTGTTTGTTATTGAGATTTTAAGCCTAATGTTTTCTAGTAAAGCAATACTGATCTACTAATCCGATTTTCTAAGGGCGCTGAGTGGTCGAAATTTAATCCTAGCAAACGTTTTAAACGTGATGAAGACTATACGACATTGGACGCAGCCAACAAACGTACGCAGCACTGTCTGGTAGGTTATTACATTAGTCAAACACCATATATAAAGTGGAGTTTCTTCGTTGTTTGTGTGTGAAGTGTATTGTGTGGGGCATTGTGAGTGGGGTAATATGGAGGCTGTTGTGTAAGGGATTGTGCGATCATCACTACCCCAACCTGCCGTAGACTTAGGGAATGTGTGTCTTGCTCCTATTGGTGCAGGTGATTCGTGTCTTGCCCCTATTGGTTCAGGTGATGTGTGTCTTGCCCCTATTGGTGCAGGTGATTTGTGTCTTGCCCCTATTGATGCAGGTGATTCGTGTCTTGCCCCTATTGGTGCAGGTGATGTGTGTCTTGCCCTATTGGTGCAGGTGATTTGTGTCTTGCCCCTATTGGTGCAGGTGATTTGTGTGTTGCCCCTATTGGTGCAGGTGATTTGTGTCTTGCCCCTATTGGTGCAGGTGATGTGTGTCTTGCCCCTATTGGTGCAGGTGATTTGTGTCTTTCCCCTATTGGTGCAGGTGATTTGTGTCTTTCCCCTATTGGTGCAGGATTAAATGTACAGAGAATATAGCTCAACTGGCACCATCGATTGGGATAAAAATTGTCGAATATGCAACTCTACCGCCCGCCGTATTCTTAACATCGGCTTGAAACGTTTTTTTTTTAATTGTTTGATGCAAGTGAATTCAAAAGCAATCCTTTGAACTCTCCGTGTATTAAACCTTTGACACCTTATGATTCTATTAACCCGTGACACCCTCCAGTTTACAGGGATTGACTGGAGCCGTCTACCTTACCTGGTCTTGGTTCAAGTCTTCCAACACCTGGACAACCCAGACAGGTACCACGCTGCTCTCACGTGTAAATCCTGGCTACTGACACTCTCTAGTCCAGTCTTGTGGCGCACGGGACACTTCAAGTTGAACACCAAGTGCAGCCAAAGTCTGATCAGTTTTGCTGAAACGATGGGGAAATCTTTGCTTCACATTAGAGCCGATATCACATGTTAGTAGTTTTTGTTTTTAAGTCAAATTGCACAAGCTCAAAATAAAAAACTCAGGGATAAAGATAAGTGTGAAAATGTAAAGAACCAAACACACACACACACCCACAATAAAAATTAACTCTTTTACAGCGTTGAAAGATGAAGACATTGGTAGCACCAGATTTTTGTCCCGTTTACTTCAAGTCATCCTAGATGTTAACAACAAGAAACTGGTCACTCTCAGCCTGACCAATACAAAGATGTTAAGATCATCACACGCCTACCCCAGGTTGAGGGTAGTCGAACAACTCGAAACCCTATTAGAAAACCAGCACCAACTCCAAGTTTTGGATCTAAGCAACGCTGCTCTTAAACTATATGAAGGTGAGTAACGTAGGTCTAAATGTTCTCCAAGGTCAATAAAGTACCAGCCCCACCAAAGTCACCAAACTTTAAATTATGTTTATTAAAACAATGAACCAGGTCTTGACTTGCTATTGGCGGCCACGCTGAACTCCTATGCAACGCTCCACACCCTCCACATTAACGGGCTGGTCAAGATGTCCTTCTCAGCTGATGTGGCAAATGATGGGAAATTCCATTTGGTGGTGTCTTGTCTCACCAATTTATCTGGTATGTTTCGCGTCTCAATATTTTACAAACTGTTGTCTTTTTTAATAATACATTTTTAATTTTTCAAAAAAAAAAAAAAACATCTGTATGTACGATTTGTTGTGTAAGGAAATTATGTTTATCTTATTATAATCAACTTTATACATCAGCACACTATACTGTACTTGTTCTCTTTACAGAGTCAACTTTCAAAGTTATCTAAATCCTTTTTTTTTAACCTTACCGAATTACATCAGTTATTTAATTTTCTTGCTCACTAATTTGTTACAAATAATGGACTTATTTAAATAAAATGGGACTGTTCTCCCGTTCACTTTCTCGTATAATCGCGTATTTGAAAAAAATAAATTGCACACCAAATTAACGTAAACAGAGTGCGAATACTAGAGCGGAAAATGTATGCTTTACAAATGATATATTGACTAACTTTTAAATAGTTCTTCTAGCATCTAATTTAACCAAATCAAATGTCACAACGCATTGTCGTCTAGAACTATGTAAAAAGTTTTGAAAGTAGAAGTTATATTTTTTAGAGATCTGAAAAAGCGTTAACATAATTAAAAATTAAAACAGGAGTGATCTCCCATAAACTTTCTCGAATATTCTTATATAACACTACGGGGATGGCAACTTGGGATATAGACATGATTTTTTATCCACTTTAAAATTACTGTAACTTTTTAAAATGGAATAGAATATGGTAGAAAAAAGAATTGCACACCAAATGAACGCCAAACAATATGTAGCCTGTATAATAATGCGGAATATTTTCAGTACTTTATAACAGAGTTTCTTCCAGGCATCTCTTCCAGGCTTAGCCACCCCCCCGAAAATTTTTTACCGCCCCCCCCCCCCCCCCCGAACGAAATGAAAATATATACTTTTAACAGTGTCCGCCCCCCCCCCCCCCCGAAGAAAGTCTACCGCACCCCCCCCCCCCCCGAAAATTTCAAGTGCCCCCCCCCCCCCCCCCCCCGGAGAAAAAAGTGAAAGAAACACTGCTTTATAAAGTGATCAAGTAGTTATAGTCTCGACACGGAAATTTATAAAAGTATCAGACATGCAGGCATACCTCAAGGAGGCGTAAAACTATTTCTTTGCACGATTGCAATACTTCATCTATAGTGTCGTTTTGATTGTATTTATTTCTTTTAGGGCTTTTCTTTTTTTCCCTGTCAAGCACCCCAAAATCCAGTTTTTAGACGTGGTAGCTGGCCACGCAAGTGATCCATAAGAGGTTTATGGATTATCCGAATCTTTATCAATAAACAAAACTGAGACAATATTTAATAAGGGTTTCATCAATTTGTTTTCAATGGAAATGACCGAGTTGACGAAAATCCTTCCAACATATTGTTGACATAGATTTAAAACAAACGAGTTTTTAGATATTGTAATTTTTTAAAAAAAAAACGACATAGACCTAGTTCTGCTAATTTTGTTTACATTTTCTTTGTTAAAAATATTTACAAATTATTTTTGACATTTAAACTTTTTTTTTTGGAACTAATTAACTTTTTGATTAGGCTTATCGGTAGATCAATATAAATTTATTGTATATATATATATATATATATATATATATATATATATATATATACACATATACATATACTAGCTGCATCCCGTGCTCCGCCACGGTAAATCTTTTTTAAATGTACCAACGTTGGAACAGAACAAAACAAACCAAAACACAACACAAATACAAAAAACACAACCACAACCACAACAACCACAACACAACCACAACACAACCACGACACAACCACAACACAATCAAAACACAACTACAACACAACCACAACACAACCACAACACAACCACAACACAACCACAACAAAACCTAAACACAACCACAACACAACCACAACCACAACACAACCACAACAACACAACCACAACACAACCAAATCACAACCACAAAACAACCACGACACAACCACAACCACAAACACAACACAAACACAACACAAACACAACACAAACACAACACAACCACAACACAACCACAACACAACCACAACACAACCACAGCCCCAACCACAACACAACCACAAACACAACACAACTACAGCACAAACACAACCAAAAACAACCACCATACAACCACAACACAACCAAAAAACAACCACAACACAACCACAACACAATCACAACACAACCACAACACAACCAAAAAACAACCACAACACAACCACAACACAACCACAACACAACCACAAAAACCACAACACAACCACAACATTAGACCCACCACCAAACAACACGGTTTTTTAGGCGTCCGCGCCCAAAGAGAGCCTTTCCAGCATTAAAAATTTAAGTCACATAAATAGATCCTACTCCATAACTTACAATAAAACAATGCGATGCAAAGCAAACGAAAACAAAAACCTAACAACAAACCCAACCACAACCACAAACACCAATACCAACACACACAAAAAAACGAAAAAGCAAACGAAAACAAACCAAATCCAAACGCAAAACCAACCAAAAACACAAATACAAACCCAAAGAAAAAAACACAAACAAAAACGAAAAAACAAAAAACAAAAACGAACGAAATCAAAACGCAACCACTAACGCAAAGCCACCTAAACACAAAGAAAACACTAACGTGAACATAAACGCCCGGGGCGGAATCACCGGTTTTAGCTTAATGATCGACTATAGTACCCCAACTTGTTCATAGTCTTTTGCACTCACTTACACGAACGCACCTGTTTCAATTTAATGAACAATTATAATACTCCAAGCTTATCCGTAAAATACCTACAACATTTGCACTTGATCAATCCCCGCTAATTATGTAATTATTTTTTTTCCAACACCAAAACAAAGTAATTAAAAAGTACATTCTTTTCCACTAATGCAATGGTTTTATAAAGGGAAGTAATTGTGTTTTCCTAATTTATCAAAGGGAAGTAAGTGCTAAAGGACTAAATAAAGACATAATTAGAATTTTTGTAAAAGATGATATTTTTTAAAAACTTGTTTTTAATGAACATGCCGAAAATTATTACTTTCAGTTTGATAAATGAAAATTATTTCCCAAAACATCAATATTAATTTTTTAACTCATAAATTTAGACCATAAGGACTTTAACTATCTAACACTTAAATCCATCGAATTATGTCAACGACAAACAAACAACTTATTTTTACATACAGAATTGAGCTTTATATATTAGATATACATATATATATATATATACTACTAAAAGTCAAGTTTGTTTACATGTTTGAATATTTATTTTTTTTTGTTTTTTTGTCTGATCTACTATTATAAATGGTTCTACTCATCGTAGAGAGCTGTAAAATAGTATGTAGGTAGAGAACAATTTTTGTTTTAAGACAGACAGTTAATCACAAATTTATTTAAAGACGTTAATTAATTTATTGATTTATTCATAGGTAGATTAACCACATTTTTTAAAAAGATTAGAAAAACGACTAGACTTGACGGAACCGTGACGTCACAGTTTTTGTTTACCTTTTAGTACAATAAAATGGCTGCGACTATCGAAGAAGATTGTGTTCCCATTCAAAAGTTTAACGCGTTCTAAATCTAATTTTCTGAAATCTAGATTTTAGATCTAGCTCTAGGGCACTAGACTTTACGTAAATTCTAGATCTAGACTTAATACATCTAGAATCTATTTCAGGCCTTACTTTATATAAATCTTTGTTTAGCTTTAATGACCATCTAATTCGAGAATACATCGGATTTATCTATCTAGGTTCTAGAGCTAGATATAGTAGGATAACTCGCTTTATTGGAGGCGTGGTCGGTTGCTAATAACAATGGCGTCCATATCGGACGCATGACTTCCGACTATTTTTATGCTATGTTTACCACGAGCAAAATGGCGGGTTTTTCACGATATATAAATATGCTAAACGAGTCGTAGAATCTAGATCTAGATAATTCTATCTAGATCTAGATAATTTTAGATCTTCATTATTTTATATAAATCTTTGTTAGGCTAATTTAAGATAAAATTTAATTTGAAAGTTACAAATACTAGACTTAGGTCTAGATCTATGCGCGTAAATCAAGTTACATAAGGAAACTCAAAGTATTCAACTATAGTATTAAATAATACATCGTCACGAGTTAAATAGCTAAGTTGTTAGTGTAATCGGCTTGCATGTGGATGGCACGGGTTCTAGACCAATACGTCTATGACGTATTTTCTTTAATTTTAATTTTATTTTTTAGATGTGAATGATAAAGTTGCCTATCCGAACTTGGCGGGATACAGGGCAGGTGAAGTAGAGTTAATCTGTTTCTTTGTCCTAAGCATATGAAGGGATAGTGTGGTCAGAGACATGCTCGGCTGGAATCGTGACGTCAGAATATGAAGGGATAGTCCGAAATCGGTGTTTTCAGTGTTTTTAAAAGATAAAAAACATTTTTTTGAATGTGGGGTCTGGTTTTTTGTGACGATAAGTGACAGACGTGATGTTTTTTTATGGATGACACCTGAAACCCACAGTTATCCAACGGATGACGGGAAGTCTATATATATATATATATATATATATATATATATATATATATATATATATATATATATATATATATAAATATATATATATATATATATATATATATATATATCGTCTATGAATAAATTTGTAAATAACATTTAGGGAAAAAGAAAATTATTTTCTAAATAAATACACATTTTACAGAAAATAAATTTACAAATTTCCCGTTTTTTTTTGTAGTATATAGTTAGATATGTGGATTGTATTACGGAGGTCACAGAGTAATTCTAGTTTTCTGTGGTTATAGATGATGTTCAGTAAACACTGAACCATGAAAGAACGAACATTTCAAGTTTTTTTTCCGACCTTTTTCTCCCGGGGGGGGGGGGGGGGGGGGACTGGTAATCGTACATATTTTCGTATTAATTCTATTTCGTTCGAGGGGGGGGGGGGGGCATTATATGTTCTAACCGAACAAAAAACTTGCCATGTATTGCAGTTTTACAGCTCGATTACCCCTGCCTGTCGAACACAGTGCTGTACCTGCTTGCTGCAACAGCCAGCAATACCCTGCGGCTGATGTCACTTTATGCTTCTATTTACATCCCCCAAACTTATATCACCCCGCCAGCCTGGCAGTCCCTGACATCTGCTTGTCCAAAACTCAAAGTTGAATTTTTTATCGGAGTGGCGGTTGTGAGTATGCTTTCGACACGTTCATCAATAAATATATTTATATCTATGTACAAATCAATCGTGTATTTAACACCTATTTATGTATGTTTGTCAATGGCGTTTCAGATTATGTTCTTTAATGAGCCATCACGTAAAGTATCTCTGAGTTCAAATGAAATAAACCGGGAGTGATCTCCCCTAAACTTTCTACGGTAGTCAAATGACTTTCTAAACTTTCTGGAATATTCATATGTAACACTTGGTGAATGACAACGCGGGATATAGGCATGATTTTTAATAAATTTTTAATTACTTAAAACTTTTTAAAATAGAATCTCGTTGACAAAAGGATTGCGCACCAAGTGAACGCCAAACAATTTGTGTATAATAGTGCTGATTATTAATAGTGCTTTATAAATTCATTTTCCTTTTTTTTAGAAATCGGAAATAGCTTAAATAGCTGCTTCCGTTCAACGAAAATTACTCAAAAGTTGATAGAAGGCAAAAAATTAGATCTTTTACTTATTTGTGAAATTTCGTTTATCTATCTGAAACAGAACTCGTTATAGGCTTTTAAAAGTAGAATAAGTTCCACTTCCGGTTATCGGAAATCGCTGAACAGTTGATACAGAACAACAATTTTAATATAATAATTATATATGAAATTTCATCAACCTGGCTGCAACGGTACTCAAGTTGTCGTGTTTACACACACACACACACATACACATACATACGTACACACACGGACAGAATTGCAAAGCCCAGAATTTTTTTTACTCGAATACGAATAAAACGCCGACATTTTGATAAATCTTGATTTTAGAATTTAATGTGAATTTATTGCACGATTACATTACTTCGTCTATACTCAGTATACGAGAATGTAAAAATGCACCAATTACATGTATTTCGGATTTAATTTTAACAAATATACCAAGTTCCTATCCTGGGTTTTTATCATTGACTAACTCACCAAGTTTCTATTTTTTTTTATAGATTCCTAAAATCCACAAATCAGCCATTGTAATTTCTATTTGACTAAGGGTTCCCGGTCTGAAATGTCTAACATGCTTGTCCCATCAATGCCACTTCATAAACTCCAATGTGATCTTATGTTATGGTTGGCTGAAGACTGCATTAGCCACATCGCCGACAACTTTCAGGTTTGTCTCATCGGGCAACACCCACAATATGGTCTTGTTTTACTTATTGTAATATTATATCAATATGTTAAAAGAGTGACCTTTAAGTGGATGCGATGTTGACTGGTTATTTACCTGTACCTGATTGTATTCAACTTTTGGTGGACTGTCTAGGCTCTTTTAACCGGCTTCTACACATTGTATCTCCCTATTCCAACAGTAACACCATGTATATTTAGTATGAGATAGGTCGGTCGCCTCAAATACCTAATACGGGACGTTGCTAGGATATTAACACTTGCATGGATTATCACCTTAGTTTCCTTGAATTAGGATCAAGTTTGATGTAGTGAATGTTCTGTTCAAAATCTAAAATTGTGTTGAAATCTTAACCAATTGTTGCTAATTTTTTTTATATTAAAAGCATGTTTTTACATGTGTAATGTAGACAATAAAGCATTAGAAGATATGAGTATAGACGGGTTAATTAAAGGTTAATTAAAGTTGCACAATGTTGTCTAGGCAACAGAGTTATTTAAAGTACAACTAAGAAGCTGAATATAATATAATTTTTCTTCATAGAACACATTACGTCACCTCCACTTTGATCTCAGCTTATTTACAAATATAGAATTCTTTGGAGACATGATCAAAAGGTAATGGAGTCATGCTGCCTTGTTATCCTATTGTTCTACTAGTATACAGTAAAGTCCTGCCTAGTTACTATACTGCTTTGTTGTCCTATTGTCCTACTAGTGTACAGTATAGTCCTGCCCAGCAACTAACCGAGTCTTAAGACCTAGAGTCCGACTGACCTGACGATCTGTAATTTCCAAAAGTACTTAACATTCTATAGTCTACTACCGTAGTCCCAGCCCCTATGTCATATTGTCTTTAACATCTTACAGTCTACTACCGTAGTCCCAGCCCTTATGCCATATTGTCTTTAACATCTTACAGTCTACTACCGTAGTCCCAGCTTCTATGCCATATTGTCTTTAACATCTTACAGTCTATTACCGTAATCCCAGCCCTTATGCCAAATTGTCTTAGCGACCTGCAATGTGCAGTCCTTAAGTTCGAATAAAATTAAATCCTTCAAGTCTACTGCCCTAACGTTCAAAGGTCTTACATTCCCTCAAGCCTACTGTCCTAAAACTGACTGAGCTATTTGTTTGTTATAGGTGTCATAATTTGGAGACATTGTCACTAAAGGTGCTTCCCTTCGCCAATGTAGAAAATCGCTGCAAACAGATAATAAGAAGGGCAATCGCCAGTCATCCGACCAAACAGTGTGTCGTCACTCTAAACGGTAGAGACGTGAGTTTAGAGGAGGGCTGGATGAGTCCTCTCTTTGGTTGGTTGGCCAGAGTTCTGTAAGGTGTGTTTTTTAAACCAAATTTTTAACAGCAAATAAAGCTAAGTCAATTTGGACAAGAAACTAGTTAGAGTTAAATGCATATCACACTATAAGTTTCCGCCACGAGTGAAACCCGACCTGGTGACCCCCGACCTGGTGACCCCCATCCTGGTGACCCCCGACCTGGTGACCCCCGACCTGGTGACGCTACTGGGTCAAAATATAATTTTAGTATTTTACTTTCATGAAAGGGTTTAAGCAATGGTTTTGAAATTTAGTTAACAAATTGATCAAAATTTAAAATTGAGTGTGAGACAGTGAAGACCGGGGGACAAGCAGCGTTTTTTTATCAGATATAAATATATTACAGAATCTACAGAAATATAACGTTGTTTTGTTGTTTTTTTTTTAAACTTGTTTGTTTTTCTACCTAATAGTAACTCTGATTTTTTTCAATGTTAAATCAGTTTCTCGACTTTTAAAAAATTATTTTTATTTTTTTATTTTTTTGTTGTTGTTGTATTTTATGCACTCTCTTTTTTACAAACTTTTACTTAGTTCAAGATGTCAGCATGTGGGTTTATAGCAAATCTTGTAACTTAATTTTGAGCCACTTCTATTGAAGCGATTTCGTTTAGCCTTTCAAGACACACGTTTCTTCGATGACTATGCAATGCCATATATTTTCTAATCTAATCACACATTAGGTTAGTTATTTAAAAATAATTTAAATAATATCAACTTCAATAATAAAAGGGGAGATAACAAGATTAGCAACTAGCATTCGTTCTGTCAGATGACCATTGAGGGTAAACTGTGTGTTATGATTGGCTGATTTCTTGTCGTAGTGTCGGCCACGAACTAAGTACGGGCAGATAACTGTCTTTTAAAGACCACAAGCGAATGATTGGGTTTTAATGAAAATATTTTAGGTCGTGGCCTATGTAGTGTCGACTTCACTTCGAAAGAATGACTAAAATGTGAAAAACAAATATAAAATAATTTCTAATAATATTTTAAGTGCATTGTAAAAAAAAATGAAACAAACGTGCTTTCTTTAAAAAGGATTTGGTCGCTTAATTATGTAAAAAAAAATTGCGACTGTGTTGGGTATCTAAAAGAGGGCTAATGCAACACATCCTGTGGTACAACTTTGAATGTCATCACCCGGACACGGCACATGAGCAACGCTTTAGGACATGACATCCCTTCAGGTCCATACAGGACAGCAGACAGTTTAAAATATTCGGGTACAGTCGGATAGGACAGTCATCTGATATAGCAGTCATCTGATATAGCAGTCATCTGATATAGCAGTCATCTGATATAACAGTCATCTAATATAAGTCATCTAATATAGCAGTCATCTAATATAACAATCATTTAATATAACAGTCTTCTAATATAAAAATCATCTAATACAGCAGTAATCTAATATATCAGTCAACTTATATAGCAGTCAACTTATATAGCGATCATCTAACAGAACAGTCATTCCTTAATTCTAGGATATAAAATTAATTTACAAAACTTGTTGCGTTTAACCTCTTGTATTAGCATGCCTTTAGCGATGGTAGGCTTCGTCTGTAAGGGCAGATTGGGTCTAAATGGATGTCACGTGATGTGCCACGAGATGACCATGTGACCGATTAAGTGTCATGCTTGAGGTGGGCGTGTTGCCGACGTTGATTGCACATTCATTAATTAATGTTACATAACACATCGACGTAAGCCAGAAACCGCTTTAATTAATAATTGCTCTCAAATAAAAATAAAAATTAAATACAATTTATGTAATTAAGTCTCGAAATTATCCAATTAGTTTTGTTGTGTCGAATGATTCCACACACGTCATCTAAATATAGCTACAGGCAGTAGTCCAAACGTTCTGTCAACAAAGTTTAAAACAATTAAGTCCGCTTTAATTAAGTCCGGGCTAATTAAGTCAGGTCTATTATTTCAACTTTAATTTTAATTTATGAGTTTGTCAAACTAAAACCCAATCAATCAAACAATAAATCAAGTTTATTCTCTTCAAATGACTACAATACAGAACTATCAATCTGTTCATTACATTCTAATTAACTTTTGATGTAGGCCCTACTAGAATATGTCCGACTAATTGTCCGGAGCGGCAGTTATAACTAACCGAGCTAGGGATTAAAATATCCGTTCCTGCGACAAATGAATAATTATATTTAATGTCGACTAAAATGGGTTTGACTAAGTTGCTGAAAGCAAATTAAATATCCCCCACATTCCCTTCAAGCCCCGGGGGTCGCAGTAGAGGCGTCGCGAGGCGAGGACGGGGGGTGCGGACTGCACCGTGTGTCATCATTTAGGGGGTGACACTACGGCGAAAAGTTGCAAAATATTAAGAAGAAATATGCTTTTTGCCAATCATATTAATGATTAAATAGAGTTAATCCACCAGTTAATATCTGACTATACAAAAACCTCTTTACTATTAACTGTGTTCACTTTAAAACTTTCACCCGAAAAAATGGGGGGGGGGGGGGGGGGAAACAGTGTAACACCAACTACACCTGACAGAGGAAAATAAATTGTTGAGTATTTTGAATAACTGATTAGTCAATCAACGACCGAGGAGGGGGGGGGGGTGACACTAAACATATTAATTTAAGATGAAAACGTTGTTTTTTCCAAATTAATTTATTGATGGATTAATATAATGTGTGCACAAGTTGATGTCATTAGGCAAAATTAGAGGGGATATATATATATATGTATATATATGTATATATATATATATATATATATATATATATATATATATATATATATATATATAGAGAGAGAGAGAGAGAGAGAGAGAGAGAGAGAGAGAGAGAGAGAGGTCATCAAATGATGGATGTCATTATATGCTGGATGTCACTATCTGCTGGATGTCACTACATCTTTGATGCCACAATAAGCTGGATGTCACTAAATGAAAATAAATAATCGATACACGTGATCAAAGTTTCCCACCACAATAGCAAGTAATGCAGTAAATGGGGTCATTGACCTCAGCCAACATTTAAGTCGTTCCCAACAAGAGGGCTTGGTGACGTCATCAAAGACCAATTGAATGTCAACATGGTCTAAGCAAATATCAAACATCGATAGTCATTTATGGATGTCACATTTGTTGGTCATTTCTGGCTGAGTGGAAAACCACATCCACACAAAACTCCACACTAGCTGGCAGGAGAGTTCAACTATTTTTTTTTCAATTTTCATCTTCAAATAATATTACCCATCACTCCCCCCCCCCCTCTTTACCAACAGGTATGCCTGAAAAAAAATCTCCAACTGTCTGATTCAATTCTTAAAAACTGCACAAAATATTGTTGCCCACCTCTAACCATAGAATGGAATATTATTAGATATCTTAAAACCAGGAGAAATTACTTTATATTTAAAGGACCCCCCGTTAGGTTTGAAAGGAACTTTACTAACATACTCCCAAGCCATCCCGACCCTCTATAACACATTATAACAAAATGATATACAACCCCCTACACATTCGTGTCACCCACGATCGCTAAACCTTTTAATTTTTGTAATGTGTTCAAACCTCAACATAGCACGCTATGTGCAGACTTCCACCCTCTGTAGTTGGTGTGCATAACGTCATATTTAATGCGTAGGGACAGGCACTGGTATATGACGCCTGTTCAATTAAATTGGGTGAAATTTCTGTTCAGAGAACTTTCGTTTTAGGTGAAGAAATAAACGGCACAAAAAGAATGGCCAAAACGTCACAAATTCAAAAAATATACGACGTAGTACTCTAATGCCTGTCTTTAAAATACCGACAACATGTGCACTGGTTCGGTTATGTGGACGTAATCCTAATATATAAAAGCCCATGTGCGCACTTCTCTCTCTCTTTCTCTCTCTGTCCGCAAGTATTTGGCTATGTGATAAGTATGTTCAGCGATATAATATGGAGAACTTAAAGGTAAATTACTTTTGTTGAAAATAATATGGCGGATAAATTTATAAACTAAATTTTAATTAAAGCAGGAAAATAAAAATAACGGCATATTCGAATGTAGAAACACATTTTTAACGATGCAGCAGGAAAAGCGTTTATTGCAATAAAGAACGCAATAAACAAAGACGGCACATGCCACATGTTAAACTAGGAAAGAACACAAAAATAATGGTGTCTTCTTCCAATTTTAGAATAACAAGAAAAAAACGATTTCATTCAAATTTGATTTAGATCTACTTATCAGGACGCACGCTGTGAAATGTATACAATTTTTGGGCCAAAAATAATACACATTTTAAAAATAACATGAATACCATTGAACAGCTGGGTTTTCAAATCACTTAAGTCTCTTAATCAGTGTGTGGATTTAATATGGTGTTGTGTTGATTAATAATGTATAAAATTTGGTTTTTCTAATTGGTATAGGTAGTCTTTTAAATGTGTCGGATTTTTAGCTATTTAACTATTAATTACTTCTTTGCTTTGTCACTAATATTGTTCATCGTGTAGTAAAGTTTTGACCAATTTTTAAAATTTTTTTTTTCTCAAACAAGTACATCTATAACATTAAAATATTTAGGCCTATAATTCACGAGTAACGGGCACTGATGGCTAGTTTAATATAAGAGAATTAGCTCCTATATGTTGATTTCTATAAAGTTTCAAGCGATTTCCGGTAATCGTTAAGGGTATTTTATTTTCGAATTTTCATAAACCCTCGTAACTTGATCTTGTTCTTCTTCGTTCTTAATTTTTAGTGTTGGGAGGCATCGGGCCTTATCTGCCAGAGGGTTTGAACTCGAGACTTTTTTTCGAATTTATCAACCATGAGCTTTGCCGACTCGACCATGCTGCCATCACAATTAAGGATTACGTGTCAACGGGTTATGCGCCATTGAGGCCATTGACTCCGTAACTTGATAATTTTATATAATTTTCTCATAAAGAATATTGTAAGATATTACAGTCTCTATACGTTTTCTTTCAAACTTCTGTAGGCCTACATCTGTATCCCGATTCCCCTGCAAGTGCCTTACAAACCCTTAGTTTTATATCAGAATAAACAAGAGGGTTTAGTGGTGCTCAATCTCTCTTTTTATAATCCATACGTAGTTGTTTAATTCTCAGTATCTTTTTGTTTGTTTGTTAAAGTATTTAATTATTTGTTTATTTCTTTGTGAGAATGTGGCGAAATCTTGTAGTTGACATTTTTCACGGACGGCTGATCTCCAAGGCTGTTAAGAAAGGGCAGATGACTGCCTTTAGAGATACTGACAGTGGCGTAACGACCTATTCCGGTGCCTGGGACGGACTATCAATCTTTAGCCCCCCCCCCCCCCCCCCCAGTTGGAAAGGTTTGTGGCGCTTCTTACCAGTTACTACCCCGTAGCATTCTCTACTTCGGTGTCACAAAACGGATATAACAACAGTTAAAACAGTGTGTTAAACATTGTAGTCGTTTATTTTCGTAACTATGACTGTGTACAATTCAATTCTTCAGCTTAAAACGAGCTTTTAAAAAACTAATTCAAACTTTTTTTTTCGTAAGCTTTTGTGTACTAATGCACTAAAAAAATAGAAAATAAATTATAGATTACTATTTACATATCTTTAAAGAAAAGCGTGGGTCATTTTACTAATATTTAGGAAGAGACACACGCTTTTCTTTATAGTCATTTAAATAGTAGTCTTTAGTATTCTTGTATTTCAACTTTTTTGTGCATTAGTACATATAAAAGCTTGTTATTAAAACATTTTTACGGAAATTTTTTTAGTACTTTACATGTTTTATTTATGGGACGGAGTGGTCTAGCGGTAGAGAGCTGGACTGCTTACCCGTAAGTAACGAGTTCGATTCCGGGTTAAAGTCAGTAGACCGTCCCTGAGTCCACCCAACTCTGATGGGTACCTAACTCACTTTAGCGAAAGTAAAGGCGGCTGGTTAAAGTGCTGACCACACTATCTCTTCATATTCCGAGGTCACAGAAACAAGTGAACTCTACTACACTTGCCCCATAGACCGTCATGTTTGAAAGGGAAACTTTAAGACATGTTTTATTTACAATAGAATTGCATGACTAATAAACCGGGAGTGATCTCCCCTAAACTTTCTCGAATATTCTTATATAACTTGGAATGTAGACATGATTTTTAATTACTTAAACTTTTAAAAATAGAATAGAATCTCATAGAAAAAAACATTGCGCACCAAACAAACGCCGAAACAAAAAGTGCATAATAGTGCGCAATATTATTAGTACTTTAAAAATTTACATTAGTTTTTTGAGAAATCGGAAGTAGCGTAAATTACTACTTCCGGTCAACGGAAATTACTCAAAATTTAGGAGAAGGTAGAGAATTAGATCTTTTACTTACATGTGAAATTTCATTGATCTATCTGAAATAGTACTCAAGTTATAGGCTTTTGAAAAATTCAAAGTAGAAAAAGTACCACTTCCATTTGTCGGAAATCGCTCAAAAGTTGATACGGATCTACGATTTTGATATAATACTTATATATGAAATTTCATCAACCTAGGTGTAACGGTACTCAAGTTATCGTGTTTACACACAGACACACAGACACACAGACACACAGACACACAGACACACACACACACACACACAGACATACGGACAAGATTGCAAAATTATGTTTTTCCGTATCAGTGAGGTGTAAAACGTCGAGATTTGTAAAAATCTCGATTTTTTTTTTTGCACGATTACAATACTTTCTCTATACTTCGTATATACGAGAAAGTAAAAACCATTGCGCGCAAATTGAACGTGACGACACGCTATTTAACGTGATGACGCGTATGGAGTAGTTGAATAGGACTACCTACTAATTTGGTCAAATTTTTAATTAATTCATAAAAAAATATTCAGGCGACCAATTAAATCAAATTAAATGTCATGATGCTGCGTTGTCTTCATGTCTTGACCCACGTACCTATTACGAACCGTTCTTTCGCTCGCCCGTTTCGACAGACTGAAGACTGACGAGGAAGTGAGTTAAACAAAAGCTTGTAAAAATGTGTATAATGAAATGCACTGAAATAAAAAATAAAAACTTGGTTTCAATAATAAAAGCAGTGTTTGCTCGTAAAACCCCTAACTCATTTTGATACCAATGTTTATATTAAAGAAAGCAAGCTTTATTTTATGTGTTTGTTTAGCTCATTTGAAAGCTTATTTTTATAAAGATTTCAATCTTTAATTTATTATTAAAGTTATTTATATACTAAACATTGGTACTTTTCGTAAAAAATATAATTATGCTTATGACACCATTGACAACTTCCGGCGATCTACCATGGCGGATGTTGTGTTTATTTCCATCGACTAATAAAACTAATAACACTACGAACCACTGTAAAAATATAATAATGGTTTGTTAAATTAATATTTGCATTTATTAGTATATATCTACTATTTATATATAAATGAGTCCGGCAATCTATGAAAATCAGGCTTTCTGTAGAATATGTAGGCTATACATACAATCCATGAAGTTTTCAGGCTTGGTACGAAAAATCATTGAAATAAATACACAGGCAAATATAAGAATGAAAAGAACTAACCTGACCTATTGTAAGATATCAAGATTGGAAAAGTGTTCAATAAACAGCAGTCACAAACTGAAAAAAAAAATAACGAAAAGAAGCACAGGACATCTTTGCTAGGAGAACAAAAGAATCAGAAGTGTCACTTCGTACTACTTGCTGCAATCATTTTTATTTAACTACTTGTTGCAGTACAGATAGCTTGAATGGCATTGTGAATTTCATTTAATTTTATTTCAAACTATAGCCCTATACTCAACCCTAAACCTAACCCCAACCTCAACCCCAACCCCAACCCTAAACCTAAACCTAAACCTAAACCTAAAACTAAACCTAAACCTAAACCTATACCTATACCTATACCTAAACCTAAACCTAAACCTAAACCTAAACTTAAACCTAAACCTAAACCTAAACCTAAACCTAAACCTAAGCCTAAGCCTAAGCCTAAGCCTAAGCCTAAACCTAATCCTAAACCTAAACCTAAACCTAAACCTAAACCTTAACCTAACCCCAACCCCAGCCTTAGCCCTAGCCCTCGCAGCCCTAGCCCTAGCCCTGGCCCTAGCTCTAGCTCTAGCTATTTTGATGTCAAGATGCGGCTCTCGTGTTCCATATATATATATATATATATATATATATATATATATATATATATATATATATATACATAGTGAGAGAGAGAGAGAGGTGAAGAAGAAAGGGAGAGCTAATTTTTACATATTAACTGTTTGTTATTGAGATTTTAAGCCTAATGTTTTCTAGTAAAGCAACACTAATCTACTAATCCGATTTTCTAAGGGCGCTGAGTGGTCGAAATTTAATCCTAGCAAACGTTTTAAACGTGGTGAAGACTATACGACATTGGACGCAGCCAACAAACGTACGCAGCACTGTCTGGTAGGTTATTACATTAGTCAAACACCATATATAAAGTGGAGTTTCTTCGGTGTTTGTGTGTGAAGTGTATTGTGTGGGGCATTGTGAGTGGGGTAATATGGAGGCTGTTGGGACAGGACTGTGTGGTCATCACTACCCCAATCCACCTTAGACTTAGGGAATGTGTGTCTTGCTCCTATTGGTGCAGGATTAAGTGTACAGAGACTAGAGTTCTACTACCTCCATTGATTGGAATAAAAATTGTCGAATATGCAACTCTACCGCCCGCCGTATTCTTAACATCGGCTTGAAACATTTCTTTTAATTGTTTGATGCAAGTGAATTCGAAAGCAATCATTTGACCTCTCCATGTATTAAACCTTTGACCCCTTATGATTCTATTAACCCGTGACACCATCCAGTTTACAGGGATTGACTGGAACCGTCTACCTTACCTGGTCTTGGTTCAAGTCTTCCAACACCTGGACCAGACAGACAGGTACCACGCTGCTCTCACGTGTAAATCCTGGCTACTGGCACTCTCTAGTCCAGCCGTGTGGCGCACGGGACACTTCAAGTTAAACACTAAATATGATAAATATTTGCTCCCTTTCATTAGAAGGATGGGGAAATCTTTTCTGCACATTAGAGCCGATGGTACAGGTTAGTAGTTTTTATTTTTAAGTCAAATGGCACAAGCTAAAAAAAAACTCAGGGATAAAGATAAGTGTTGAAATGTAAAGAACCAAACACATACACACACAAAATAAATATGATCTCTATTACAGGGTTGCGAGATGTAGACATTGACATTAGCACACGATTTCTGTCGCTGTTCCTTGGAGTCCTCATTGATGTTAACAACCAGAAACTGGTCACTCTCAGCCTGACCAATACAAAGATATTATGGTCAACCAACGCCTACCTCAGGTGGGAGGTGGTGGAACAACTTGAAACCCTTCTAGAAAACCAGCACCAACTCCAAGTTCTGGATCTAAGCAACGCTGATCTTAAACTATATGAAGGTGAGTAACGTCGGTCTAAATGTTCTCCAAGGTCAATAAAGTACCAGCCCTACTAAAGCCACCAAGCTTTAAATGTTTATTGAACCAGGTCTTGACTTGCTGTTGGCGGCGACGCTGAACTCCTATGCTTCGATCAACACCCTCCACATTAACGGGCTGGTCAAGGAGATCTTCTCAGCTTTTGTGGCAAATGATGGGAAATTCCATTTGGTCGTGTCTCGTCTCACCAATTTATGTGGTATGTTTCGCGTCTCCATATTTTACAAACTGTTGTCTGTTTTGATAATACATTTTTAATTTTAAAAAAAAAAAACAAAAAAAAAAAAAAAAAACATCTGTATGCACGATTTGTTGTGTAAGGAAATTATGTTTATCTTCATATAATCAACTTTACACATCAGCACACGCTACTGTACTTGTTCTCTTTACAGAGTCAACTTTCCATGTTATCTAAATCCTCCTTTTTTAACCTTACCGAATTACATCAGTTAATTAATTTTCGTGTTCTCTACTTTGTTTCATATGAATTGACTTATTTAAGTAAAAAGGGAGTGATCTACCGTTAATCTTCTCGTATAATCGCGTATTTGAAAAAAGATCGCACACCAAATTAACGTAAACATAGTGCGTGAAATAGAGCGGAAATGTGTGTTCTTTAAAGGAATCTAGACTACCCGTTATCATTAGACAACTGTGGGTTTCGGGGGTCATCCATAAAAAAACATCACGTCTGTTACTTATCGTCACAAAAAACCAGACCCCACATTAAAAAAGACGTCACACCTCAGACGTTTTTGTCTTTTAATTTAAAAACAGATTTCGGCTAAGCATGGGTCTGACCACACTAGTTTCTTATGCAGAATAAAAGTAAAATATATCAGTAAATTCGTCTGAATTTAAGCAAATATGCCCTAGTGCCTTGATCTAGTATTATTTTGAATTAAATTTGGACCCAAATTAGCCAATTCCATAGCTAAACGAGCAAAGATTTATATAAAATAATTAAGGCCTAAAATAGTTTAGTATATAGATTCTAGATCTAGATTCTCGATGTAGAATTTACGTTAAGTCTAGTTTTTGCCGTAACTATAGATCTAGAACATAAATAGATTAATCTCGTGTATTCTCGAATTAGCTGATCCTTGAAGCTAAACAGCAAAGATTTATATCAAATATTTAAGGAATAACATACTTTTACAAAGAAACTCAATAATTTATTGTGATTTTATAATGGTTTTTATTTTTAACTAATTAGTTTTGGTTTGACCTAGATTCTAAATTTTAGATAGAGGATTGACTTTCTCTGTGTCCGATCACTGATCTTTTGATCTAGAGAAAATTAATTGTATATTCAAATTAGAAGAGCCAGGGAAAATTTATAAAAGTGTTGGAACCTAAACAAAAATAGCAAACGGACGCATCGTTAAAGCTATAGCCGACTGGAAATTAGCTTTATAATGCGTTAAACTTTTGAATGGGCACCAAAATCTTCAATGGAAGCCGCCATTATTGTTATTAAAAAGTAAATAATGCATGTGACGTCACTATAAGTAAAGTCATTGTTCTGTAATTTTATAATTCATATGATGAATCTACCAATGAATATATCAATAAATTAATTAAAGTCTTTAAATTAATTTGTGATTAACAGTTTGTTTAAAAAAGAAAACTGTTTTCTACCTAATTACGTATTGTACAGCTCTACACATGGTGCAGATTCTCTCAAGTAACCAAACGGACAAACTAAAAAACAAAAAAACAAAAAAAACAAGAAAACAAAATAGTTAATATTCAAATATGTAAACAAACTTGAGTTTTAATAGTATATAGATATAGATAGATAGATATTGACTAACTTTTAGATAGTTCATATAGCATCTAATTTAGCCAAATAAAATGTCACAATGCATTGATGTCAAGACTTCTAGACCTAGGTGAAATGTTTTGAAAAAAAACCGGTATGGTAAGAGTAATATTTTTTTTTAGAAATCTGAAAAAGGGTAATCATACTTATCATTAAATAAACCGAGAGTGATCTCCCCTAAACTTTCTTGAATATTCTTGTACAATACTACGGGGGATGGCAACTCGGGATAGAGACATGAATTTTAATCCATTTTTAATTACTTAAACTTTTAAAAATAGAATAGAATCGCGTAGAAAAACGAATTAAGCACCAAGTGAACGCCAAACAATATGTGTATAATACTGCGGAATGTTATTAGTACTTTATAAATTCATAAGGCGTTTTTGAGAAATCGAAAATATCGTAAATTACTACTTCCGGCCAACGGAAATTACTCAAAATATTTGAAAGAATGCATAGGATTAGATCTTTTACTTACTTGGGAAATTTCATTTATCTATATGAAATAGTACGCAAGTTATAGGCTTTTGACTAATTGAAAGTAGAATAAATTCCACTTCCGGTTACCGGAAATAGCTGAAAAGATTATTTATAAGTACAAATTTGATATAATACTTGTGTATGAAATTTGATCAATCTAGCAGTAACGGTACTTAAGTTATCCTGTTCATAGACAAACATACATACACACACACACACATACACACACAGACATACGGACGAAATCGCAAAAACATATTTTTCTGTCTCAGTGAGGTGTAAAATGTTGTTTTTTTTTCACGATTACAATACTTCCTCTATATTTCTTATACGAGAAAGTAAAAAAACTAAGAAAAGAGAATAATATAACTATGTTTAAAATTTCGTCTACTTAATTAACTTAAACGGTACTGAAGTTATTGTTATTATAGAATCCGGAAATAGAGTAAAGTACCGCATCCTGTTACCGGAGGTCAATAAAGAATTGAAAGTAATTCAAGTATAAGATCTTGTACTTGTATACGAAATTTTATTTAACTGCCTGCAATAGTGATCAAGTAGTTATAGTTTTCAATCGGGAATTGAGTAAGGTATCAGACATACAGATAAAGCTGCGAAACTAATTTTTTCCGACTCAAGCAGATGTAAAACGATTTCTTTGCACGATTACAATACTCTCTCTATACTCTATAGTGTCGTTTTGATTTATTTTAAGGCTTCTCTTAGTTTTTCCCCTGACAAGCACCCAAAAATTCAATTTTTTTTTGGACGTGGTAACTGGCCACATAAGTGATCCATAAGAAGTTTATTGATTATCTGAATCTTTTTCAATAAACCAAACTCATGCAATATTTAATATAGGTTTCATCAATGCGTTTTCAATGGAAATTACCGAATTGACGAGAATTCTTCCAACATACTGTTGACATACATACTGTTAGATTTGGTAATTTTTTTAAAACCACATGACATGGACCTAGTTGTGCTAATTTTTTTTTACATTTTCTTTGGTAAAAATGTCAAATTGTTTTTGACATTTTAATTTTTTTTTGTTTAACTAATTAACTTTTGGTTAGGCCCATCGGTAGATCAAGATAAATTTATTGTATACTCTAATTACAGAGGCGTAGCGACCCTTCCCGGCGCCCGGGAACAAACTTTCGATTAGCACCTCCCCTCAAGCTTTCAATTTATTTTTCCAACCCATTTTTGCGCGCCCTAAGGTCGGCGCCGGGGGACATATTTCCACCCCCACCCTTCGCTACGCCTCTGTCTAATTAGCAATACTGCAAAGTGCATTCTTTTGAAAATTGATCATAGTGTGGAACCTAATAAAAATAGCAAATAGGCATATTGTTAAAGCTATAGTAGACTTTTTAGCTTTATAATGCGTTAAACTTTTGAATGGGCAAGACGGTCTTCCATGGAAGCCCGCCATGTTTGTCATGTCTGCTGTGAAATAAGAAATAATTAAAGTGACGTCACTAAGTCGGTAAAAGTTTTTTAATTTTTTGTGAAAATAAAGTTCTTGTTTTGAATTTTTATAATTAAAGGGGCATTTCTACAAATGATTATATCAAAAAAAATATATACCATCTTTGAATACATTTGGGTATAATATTTTGGGAATAAAATAACATTATTCTCCACATAAATACGTATTTTACAGAAAATAAATATACAAATTTCTCGCTTTTAGTAGTATATAGATAGATAGGTTGATTCCATTACGGAGGGCACAGAGTAATTCTAGTTTTCCGTGGTTATAGAGGATTTTTGCTTCTCTGCTCTATTTTACAAGACACGTAAACACGGAACCATGAAACAACAAACTTTTCCAGGATTTCTTTCCGACCTTTTTCTCAGGGACGGGACGGGACGGGGGGGGGGGGGGGGGGGGGGAGCACTGCTAAACTTACATATTTTCTATATACATTCTACTTCGTTGGGGGGGGGGAGTAGACGTTGTAACCGAACAAAACCCGTGTCATGTCTTGCAGTACTACAGCTCGACTACCCCTACCTGTCGAACACAGTGCTGTACCTGCTTGCTGCAACAGCCAGCAATACCCTGCAGCTGATGACTGTTCATCGTACCTATTTTTACATCGCCCTAACTCGAATCACCTCGCCAGCCTGGCAGTCCCTGACATCTGCTTGTCCAAGACTCAAAATTGAATTTTTTATTGAATCGAATTATGTGAGTATGCGTTCAACACATTCATCAATAAATATATCTATACGAGCTGACCCGCGACGTAGTATACGCCGCCATCTAGTTGTTTTATTTTCTGCTTATCAGCAATTCATAATTTGTGAATTCAACACTACCCCCCCTTCCCCCTCCCGTCAAGTGAAAGCAGCCGTTTACAGACAAAGAAAAGATCAATCAGAAATTGTTACCTCCCCTTCCTTTCAAATAGTTTAATACTAAATTTTCTGCCCCTACTATCCGTCACTAACCCGGCTCTACTATTGTAAACATTTGGTGTGAACCACAGCTCACCTGAGAGGTGGGGATGAGGGTGGTGGCTAAGCTGCGAGGTGTTTTCTATGGTCTTCTTGAAGAGAATTATATATATGAGCTGACCCGCGACGTAGCATACGCCGCTATCTAGTTGTTTTATTTTCTACTTATTAACAATTAATAATTTGTGAATTCAACACTACCCCACACCCCTGCCTCCCCCCCCCCCCCTCCACACCGCCCAGTGACAGCAGCCGTTTACAAACGACAATGAAAATATCAAGCAGTACTTATTATCTCCCCTTAGTTTCAAATCGTTTAAAAACTAAATTATCTGCCCCTAATAGCCATCTTTTATTCGAACCGGCTCTACTATTGTAAACATTCGGGATGAACCACAGCTCACATGAAAGGTCGGTATGAGGGTGGTGGCTAAGATGCGTGGTGTTTTCTATGGTCTCCATGAAGAAAATTATTTATATAGATATCTATGTACAAATCAATCGTGTAATTATCACCTATTTATGTATGTTTGTCAATGGCGTTTCAGATTATGTTCTTTAATGGGCCATCACGTAAGCTATCTCTGAGATCAAATGACAAAAATGCACGAATTACATGTATTTCGGATTTAATCTCAACAAATACACCAAGTTCCTATCCTGGGTTTCTATCATTGCCTAATTCACGAAGTTTCTATTTTTTTAAATAGATTCAATAAATCCACAAATCAGCCATTGTAATTTCTATTTGACTAAGGGCTCCTGGTCTGAAATGTCGTACATGCTTGTTCCATCTATGCCACTTCATAAACTCCATTGGAAGTGCATGTTATGGTTGGATGAAGACTGCGTTAGCCACATCGCTGACAACTTTCAGGTTTGTCTCATCGGGCAACACCCACAATATGGTCATGTTTTACTTATTGTAATATTATATCAATATGTTAAAAGAGTGACCTTTGATTGGATGCGAGTTTGACTGGTTATGTACCTGTACCTGATTGTATTCAACTTTTGGTGGACTGTCTAGGCTTTTTTCGCCGGCTTCTACATATTGTAACTCCCTATTCCAACAGTAACACCATGTATATTTAGTATAAGACTATACTACACAGTTATCCTTGAATAACCGTGTTTCAAGGGTCATCCATAAACGACGTCATGTTTATTTGATAATTTTTAACTTTTACCTCCCCCTCCCTACTGTCAATTATTATCACAAAAAACCAGACCCCACATTCAAAAAGACGTCACACCTCAGACATGTTTTTGTCTTTTAAAAACACTGATTTCGACTGAGCATGGGTCTGACCATACTATCCCTTCATATGTTGACGTCACAGGTGAACTCTACACCTACCCAACTCTACTTCGCCTGCCCAGTGTCCCGCTAAGTCTAAGACAACATGTTTTTATCGTTTAATAAGAAAGATTCCGGCCGAGCATGGCTCTGACCACACTATCGCATCATATGCTGAAACCAAAGAAACAGGTGAACTCTACTTCACCTGCTCTGTATCCCGCCAAGTTCCGATAGGCAACCTTATCATTCACATCTATTGAAAAAAAAAAATGAAAAAAAAGTTAACATTTACATGATGTGTCTCGAAACCGTGCCATCGGCATGGTAACCTAATACACTAACATCTTAACTATCTAGGTTCGTAAGATGAGGGACGAATTTACTGGAATATTTTACTTTTAATCTGCGTAAGACACTTAATTTACGCGAATAGGCCCTAGTGTCTAGTATTATTTCAAATTAAATTTTATCCCAAATTAGCCAATTCCATAGCTAAACAAACAAAGATTAATATAAAATAGTTAAGGCCTGAAATAGTTTAGTTAATAGATTCTAGATTCTAGATCTAGAATTTACGTTAAGTCTAGTTTTTGCCGTAACTCTAGATCTTACAGAATTTAGATAGATAAATCCCACGTATTCTCGAATTAGATGATCCTTGAAGCTAAAAAGCAAAGATGTATATCAAATATTTAAGGGCTAACATAGTTTAATAAAAAAAAACTCAATAATTTATTGTGATTTTAAAGTGGTTTTTATTTTTAACTAATTAATTTTGGTTTGACCTAGATTCTTGACCTATAACTTCCTTCGACAGCTGATCTTTAGATTCTAGATCTAGAGAAATGTATTGTATACCTAAACTTAAATGAAAAGGACTGTTGAAAATTGATATTAGTGTTGGAACGTAATACAAATAGCAAACGGACGTATCGTTAAAGCTATAGCCCACAGAAAATTAGCTATATAATGCCTTATACTTTTGAATGGGCAACGCAATCTTGTATGTAAATAAATCATGTGACGTCACTATAAGTAAAGTCATTATTCTGAAAATGTATAATTAATATGGTTAATCTACCTATGAATATATCAATAAAGTAATTAACGTCGTTAAATTAATTAATTAACAGTTTGTTTAAAAAAATTGTTCTCTACATAATAACGTATTGTAAAGATCTACACATAGTGCAGATTCTTTGCTGTAACAAAACGGACAAAAAAAAAATTACACTCTCATGGTCTATCGCCCTAGTTTCCTTGAATTAGGATCAAGTTTGATAGTGAACTAGACTACCCGTTATCTAGTTAGATAACTGTGGGTTTCCGGGGTCATCCATAAATAACATCACTTCACATGTGACCTTTTAAAAGTTCTATTAATTTTAATGACACCGATTTAAAATTTAGCCTTCATTCTTCAAAGCGAATTTTAAAATGCTTTTCTGGCATATCTAGCCCTGGCCACCTATAGCATGTTTAAATAACGTGAAAACCCACCATTTTGCTCGTGGTAATTGTGGCCTAAAATGGTCGGAAGTCATGCGTCCGGTCTGGACGCCATATTGTTGTTAGCAGCCGACCATGCCTCCAAGTTAGCGAGTAATCCTACTTTATCTAGATCTAGAACCTAGATAGATACATCCCATGTATTCTCGAATTAGATGATCATTGAATCTAAACAAAGATTTATATAAAATAATAAAGGCCTGAAATAGATTGTAGATGTAGAATTTAAAGTCTAGATCTAGAATTTACGTAAAGTCTAGTGACCTAGATCTAGATCCAGATTCATAACTTCAACTTTCTTCGACAGCTGATCTGTAGATCTAGAGAAATTTATCGTAAAACTAAATGAAAAAATGTGGGTTTCGGGGGTCATCCATAAATGACATCACGTCTGTCAGCCCTAATCATCCCAAAATAACCAGACCCCACATTCAAAAAGACGTTTTTTATATTTTAAACCTCTACTAAACTCTACTTCACCTGCCAAGTGTCCCGCCAAGTCTCAGACATGTTTGAATTTTTTAAAAAAACCGATTCCGGCCGAGCATGGCTCTGACCACACTATCCCTTCATATGCTGAGAACATAGAAACAGGTGAACTCTACTTCACCTGCCCTGTGCCCCGCGAGGTCCTGATAGTCAACCTTATCATTCACATGTAGGCCTTAAGAAAAAAATAATTAAAAACATTGTTCTAAAAGGAAAAAAAAACCTTTTTACTATTACTATATTCATTGTTCTAAACTTTTATAATTAATGTGGTTAATCTACCTATGAATATATCAATACATTAATTAACGGCTTTAAATTAGTTTGTAATTAACAGTGTGTTTAAGAAGGAACAATATTTACCACCCAAAATCCTATTTTACAGCTCTACATATAATGTAGATTCTCCCCAATAAAAAATCAGAAAAACAAACAAACAAAAAAATGAGTTATCAAACGTCACTATTCAGTCAAAGTTAAGCCATTGTTCTAAAACTTTAAAATTATTGTTGTTAATCTACCTATGAATAAATCAATAAATTAATTAACGTCTTTAAATAAATTTGTGATTAACAGTCTGTCTGAAAACAAAAATTAATCTCTACCTACATACTATTTTACAGCTCTCCACATAGAGTAGAACCATTTACAATAGTCAATCAGACAAATAAATATTCATGTAAACAAACTTGAGTTTTAGTAGTATATAGATAGATGTTCTGTTCAAAATCTAAAATTGGGTTGAATTCTTAACCAATCGTTGCTATTTTGTATTATATTAAGAGCATGTTTTTACATGTGTAATGTAGACAATAGAGCATGAGAAGATGTAAGAAATGACGGGTTAATTAAAGGTTAATTAAAGTTGCACAGTCTTGGATAAGCAACAGTTATTTAAAGTACAACTGAGAAGTTTATTATAATATTATAATTTTTCTTCATAGAAAACACTGCGTCATCTCCACTTCGAATTATGCATTTACAAAAATAAAGAATTCTTGGGAGACATGATCAAAAGGTAATGGAGCTATGCTGCCTTGTTGTCCTATTGTCCTACTAGTATACAGTATAGTCCTGCCGAGTTACTATACTGCTCTGTGGTCCTATTGTCCTAATAGTATACAGTATAGTCCTGCCCAGCAACTATACTGCCCTATTAGTATAGAGTATAGTCCTGTCCAACCACTAACCGAGTCCTAAGGCCTAAAGTTCGGCTGACCTAGTGACCTGTCATTTCCAAAAGTACTTTACATCCTATACTCTACTACCGTAGTCTCAGAGCCCTATGAAGTGTAGTGCTAGTGTTCAAATAAAACTAAATCCTACAATCTACAGTCCTAAAGTTTGAACGTATCCCATTCCTACAATCAAGTCCTAAAGTTCAAACGTATTACATTCCTTCAAGCCTACTTTCTTAAAGTTCAAAGGTATTACATTCCTTCAAGCCTACAGGCCTTAAAGTTAAAAGAACCCAGATTCCTACAAAAGTACGATGCTCTCTTTTTCTCTGGCTCTCTCTCTCTCTCTCTCTCTGTATATATATATATATATATATATATATATATATATATATATATATATATATATATATATATATATATATATATATATATATATATATATATATAAATATATAAATATATATATAGGAGCCCACGTGTTACAGTACATTATCTTACCTAATCATATGAAAGTCAAACCCAGAGTAACCTGACTGAGCTATTTTTTTGTTATAGGTGTCATAATTTGGAAACCCTGTCACTAAAGCTAAAGGTGATTACCTTCGCAATTATTGAAGAATTTGGCTTCGAACAGGTAATAAGAAGGGCAATCGCCAGTCGCCCAACCAAACACGAATGTGCCGTAACTTTGAACGGTAGAGACGTGAGTTTAGAGGAGGGCTGGATGAGTCCTCTCCTTGGTTTGTTGGCCAGAGTTCTGTAAGGTGTGTTTTTTAAACCAAATTTTTAACAGCAAAAGAAGCTAAGTCAATTTGGACAAGAAACTAGTTAGAATTAAATACATTTGTATGTATCACACTATACGTTTCCGCACCGGGTGATCCCCGACCTGGTGACCCCCGACTTTGTGACCCCCGACCTGGTGACCCCCGACTTTGTGACCCCCGACCTGGTAATCCCCGACCTGGTGACCCCCAACTTGGTGACATCGCTGGGTAGAAGTGTAATTTCTTGTTATATCCGCGATATAATCAACACAAAATCAGCAGATTAAGGCCATCAGTGAATATTCGGGACATTAAGTTAATTTAAACCACTCAAGTAATTAAGACATACAAAACGAAAAACATGATGTTGTCTAGCAACATCTTGTGACTTCTAAGCAGTGTATCGACATGCCCCACAAACATTTTTGACAGAGTTTTGTTCATAACTATTTTATTAAAAGGTGACTGAAGAAAAAGAATAATGCTGGGTAGGTCTATGTATAAAACAAAAATAAATATTCTTCTAAAATACATGTTTTCTAACCGAAATTCCAAAAATTGAAAACACACGTTCAAAACTTAAATTTGACTTGGCGAATAACAAAATGTGCCTGTCCTTTCCTTTGACCATTCAAAGTTTACTTTCATATAAGAGTTTAGCAATAGTTTTGAAATTGAGTTAACAAAGTTATCGAAATTTGGCTGTAGGGTGTCAACTTGCCCCTGTGACTTATAGTCTCACCTTCTCCCACAAACAGTCTCTTGAAGTCGTGTATATCACATGTATATCACTTATTCCTTCTGGCTTTGTTACTGTCATACTTAAAGTGTGCGAACGTTCATAATATAATACATTAAAGCTTATTTAAAATTGAATGCACTTGACTCAGCGAAGACCCCGTGACAAGCAACGTTATTTATCAGATATATTACAGAATCTACAAAAGTGTAACGTTTTTTCTTTAAATAAAAAACCATGTGTTTTTTCTACCTTATCGTAGTTTTGAATTTTTTTTCAATGTTTTCGACTTTTTAAAATATATTTTAAAAATAGTTTTTATGTTTAGTGTTTTATTTCTTATTTTTATTTTTTTGCATTCCGTTTTTACAAGATGTCAGCATGTGGGTTTATAGCAAATCTTGTAACTCAGTTTTGAGCCACTTCTATGCACAGTTTCTAACCCCCCCCCCCCCTCCCTGAGAAAAAAGTCTGGAAGAAACACTGCTTCTATTGAAGGCATTTCGTTTAACCTTTCAAGACAATGCAATGACATATATTTTCTAATCTAATCAGAAATTAGGTTAGTACTTTAAAAAATAATTTAAATGATACTCATGTCTACGGCAATAGTGCTGTAGTTAGCAATATATTCCAAGTTTAGCGCAATGTTAAACCCTCATGTAAACGATACCAGTGCTGTAGTTAGCAATATATTCCCAAGTTTAGCCCAACGTTAAACCTTTGGTTAGTTAAATCTCTTGAGTGTATCATTAGATAAATTAGACTGAGCGTCGTCTACCCCACAGTGAGATGGCGAATCATCTATTTGATCTATTTCACAGTTAAATAGCTAGCGTCTATTTAAACCGTCTAGTTCACAATTTAGACAACGTGCCGTCTATTTGAACTGTTAAAGTACACTGTCTCTTTGGTCCATAGATAACTATTAATCTCTAGTATCTATTGGATAGTTCACATCATTTTACACCTTTAGGTAGTGAAGCATCTATTTGGTCTATTAGGGTGCTAGAGAAGGAACATAAACCATCTGGCTTGTGGGTGAATGTCATACTAGCGTGCTAGGTAGGTCTGTCAGGCATTTCTCGGCCCAGCCTTTAACCACTCCACATTGAGTTCGCCTCTGGGTGGTCAGAGTGGGATGGGACACTTCCATGATACAACTTTGTGAGGGACTGGACATGGGACACTTCCATGATACAACTTTGTGAGGGACAGGACACGGTACACTGCCATGGTACAACTTTGTGAGGGACAGGACACGGTACACTGCCATGGTACAACTTTGTGAGGGACAGGACACGGTACACTGCCATGGTACAACTTTGTGAGGGACAGGACACGGTACACTGCCATGGTACAACTTTGTGAGGGACAGGACACGGTACACTGCCATGGTACAACTTTGTGAGGGACAGGACACGGTACACTGCCATGGTACAACTTTGTGAGGGACAGGACACGGTACACTGCCATGGTACAACTTTGTGAGGGACAGGACACGGTACACTGCCATGGTACAACTTTGTGAGGGACAGGACACGGTACACTGCCATGGTACAAGTTTGTGAGGGACGAAACACTTCCTGTGAGACAAGAGTTTATCACCCTCACACGGCACTTGAGAAACGCTTTGAGTGCCAGAGAACATGACATCCCTGCTAGTCCTCACAGGAGAACAGAAAGTTTAAAATATCCAGGTACTGTCGTCGCATACAGCAATTATCAGATAGGACAGTCATAGAACTTAGCAATTATCTAATATAACAGTCATATAATATAGCAGTCATCTATTATAGCAGTCATCTGATATAGCAGTCATATGATATAGCAATCATCTAACAGAACAGTCATTTGTTAACTCTATGATATAAAATTAATTTACAAAACTTTTTTGCGTTATAACCTCTTGTATTAGCATGCCTTTAGCGATGGTAGGCTACGTCTGTAAGGGCATAAATTGGGTATAAATGGATGTCACGTAATTTGCCACGAGATGACCACATGACCGATTGAGTGTCATGCTTGAGGTGGGCGTGTTGCCCACGTTGATTGCACATTCATTAATTAATGTTACATACCACATCGTCGTAAGCCAAAAACCGTTTTAATTAATAATTGCTCTCAAATAAAAATAAAAGTTAAATACAATTTCTGTGATAAAGTCTCGCAATTATCCAATTAGTTTTGTCGTGTGGGATGATTCCACACACGTCATCTAAATATAGCTACAGGCAGTAGTCCAAACGTTCTGTCAACAAAGTATAAAACAATTAAGTCCTCTCTAATTAAGTCCGGGCTAATTAAGTCAGATCTATTATTTCAACTTTAATTTTAATTTCTTAGTTTGTCAAGCTAAAACGCAATCAATCAAACAATCAATCAAGTTTATTCTCTTCAAATGACTACAATACAGAATGATCAATCTGGTCATTACATTTTAACTAACGTTTGATGTAGGCCCTACTACAATATGTCCGACTAATTGTCCGGAGCGGCAGTTATAACTACCTGAGCGGCAGTTATAACTACCCGAGCTAGGGATTAAAATATCCGTTCCTGCGACAAATGAATAATAAATGTCGACTAAAATGGGCTTGACTAAGTTGCTGAAAGCAAATTAAATATCCCTCATATTCCCTTCAAGCCCCGGGATGTCTATGTATACTAATTTGTAGATGACATGCATATAGTAAAAACCTCGACCTGATCGCCATTGTGTAATATTCTAAAAGTGTTCATTTTTGTACTAAAATCGAAATGAATGTATAGAAAACTCAACATCAACTTACACCTTTGGTAGCTGACAGAAAAAGACTAAAAATATGATGACTCTATTAAAAAGACTTTACGAATTACATTTTATTGTTAAAACCGTAAAAATGATCGGCTATGCTTAAACACCAATTATTGATCAACTTAAAGAACAAGACAAAATAACTAAAAATATATGACGTAGTACTCTGATGCCTGTCTTTAAAATACAGACAATATGAGCAGGGTTCAGTTATGTGGACGAAATCCTAATATATAAAAGACCATGTGCGCACTTCTCTCTCTCTCTCTCTCTCTCTCTCTCTCTCTATCTCTCTCTCTGTCCGCAAGTATTTGGCTATGGGATCAGTATGTTCAACGATATAATATGG